GTATTTCATCAAAGAAAAAACATTGTTGGATCAGATATTAATGTGTGCTACCAGCAGCTAGGTGAGTGAAGTCTCAAGGACAACATTGCTTTAGACAAAGAAAAGGAATATTCATGACAAGAGCCGTGTTGCCAAATTTTAAATGACAATACACCATCTAGTTTGAGATTTTCCTGGTTCCACTGTATGACAATTATATGGGAATCGATGAGTACAGACAAGATGTTGCACAAATAATTCATTCATGTAATAACAATGTATATTATTTTTCCATGTTAGGCCAAGCAAATCCAAGATGGCCGATGGGAAATAGCTACAGTACAACAGTACTTTCTCATTATTACCAAGTAAACAAATTGAAAGCAAATAAAAGAAGCACTAGAAATGATTCATACCATATGTATATTGATTTTAATTCATAATGCTTTCAACTAAAGTTCTCCCTTTGAGCATCTGCCCTACTATGAACAATTGAAAGAGGAATTTTACTGATGCGAGTCAGCCAGATTTTTGTATATTTCATAAAGGAAAAAACATAAAAAATAAAAATTTGGTGAGGCAGAGAAAATGGATGTGCGAAGGGACGAAAAACTATAAATTTTTTTTTATTTGGCCTTAGCTATTACATTACTAAATATGAAACTTGCATTGATTCAGTTCCTACAGTTATTTTGGGTTCCATTTTGAATTATTGTTATTATTAATAAATTATTAATGACTATCATTATATTCCCTTAATTTATTTCTTGTTTATGACAATATATCTAAGGGATTACCATAATATTTACTACTATTATTGGTATTACGTTAATGCAGTCTTCGACCATTGTCCTTTTCTTTGCTTTTCATTATGCTATCGTAAAACCACAAACTGAAAACTTGCATTGACCATGGAGGTATAAAAATAATTAACAGTTGAATATATACTATAGATCAGAGGAAGGAAATCACTATAGTTACCTTTGTCGGGATGCTTTTCACGGATTCGTTCTGCTGTCTGGTATGCATGGTAAATGTTTGGGACAGCAATATCTGGGTCACTTTCATCCACAAGTTGATTGACAAACTCCAGCGCTTCCATAATCGTCATTACCTTCTTGTCCAATTTGCCCCAATATTTTTGCTACCATGAAGAAATCAAACACAATAAGTACAATATGCAATGATTGAATCTCACTTTTCATAGATATTAGTGTTTAGGTTTGCCAAATGGGAGGCATAGATGGAGAAAATCCTTCTGAATTTTAACCTCAGCCTTGTAAGGTCCTCACCATATAGAACAAAATTATAGAAAAGAAAAAATGCAATTATTATTCAAATTCAAGTTTGAGAGTGCCATCTAGAGGTGCAATAATTAAGAAATTTTCTTACCTCAGTCCCAACCATGGTGGGCTGAGGTGGCATGGACCCTCCATCTGTGAAAGTCCTTCCCTAGGCCCCTTCTTTTTTGAATATCTGAATCCACCATGTTGTTAAATATTGTACTTGAGCTAGACAATTAGGGTAGCCATCCGAACAAATTGCTTTCTCGTATTTCTTCCCTCTGTTCAACTATCAGTTAATCATTAACTTTTACTATTAAAACCTAACTGAAATCCATTTGGTTTATTATTGTTATTCTTCAATATTATCAATGGTTATGTTCGGGCATAGAGGATAACACAGGGTTTGAATACACCAAGTTCACACCGGCTCTCACGCCATGCATGACTCAAGTTGGGTGTTCATCTAAATGTTCAAATTGGATGTTATAGTCTCCAAAAAAAAACAAAAAAAAAACCCAAGCTAACTTTCCTAAAATACGATGCTGAACTTTCCTCAGTGTTCTTGCTACAATGAAGCAATCAGTGTACAACATTTAATCACTGACGTTTGCTTTTTTCACAAAAGGTCTCGGCGTTACCAATACAAGCATGGGGCATAACTTCACTTTTTGGTGTCACACGCAAGAATAGAAATGGCACCCTTTTCCAACTAATCAATATCTAAAATGTGAAGCCCTACATAAAACTTTTGTCCAGGCTCACTTTAGCAGCCTTTTCAGTTCAGCGCCCCCGGCAAGTGCTCCATTCTACACCGCTTTAGTTATGTCTCGGAATGCAATATTTTGTTGCTAATGGTCATTTCCTACAGGTACCAGCAATATTGATTTATGAGATTGACAGTCCTTTCCAGAGGGACAACCAAACGGATTAATGGAAAGGTGCATTAACTACTACAGTATCTAGGAGAGGACCAGTTAACCAAAGTATAACTTACTACAGTATGTTATCCACAACGTAAATTATCATTCATATAAAAAGGATTCTTGTCACACACAACACCAACTTGAACTGGCAACATAATACAATGTATGTTTTCTATCGAAAAAAAATCCAACTTTGCTTGCCATCCCAAAACCAGAATCCTGTTGCGAATTAAACTGAGTAATCAGCATACGAATGTGGCAGTATTGTATACTTTAGTACAGAGAATCAATATTAATTTTATTCATAAATTTGGCAATAGTAAGTCGGATCCAGTAAATTACCCATCGTTTTAAAGCTTACAATGTGGAGAATATTAACATATTAAAAAGTAAATTTTCATGTTTTTGTCACAGCTGCTGTCAAACCCCATTTATCAAAGCAGGAGGATTAGGTAAAATTAATACATTAATTTAAAGATCTTACTTTTCCTTTTACATACTCTACTGTTTGCTGAGTATGCATGTTCTTGTAAAGCCTCTTCACTTTCACCATATGTTCATCACTGGTGTTACTGGCATTTTCAAAATTACGAAAATCTTGGTTATGTTCTGGCCTGTAAAGCTCCGACGGGTCTATGATAAAAACCGGTTCCTGTATAAGAAATCAAACGCACAAAATAAGTTTAATCATTCTAATATAAAATGCATTGAACCTGACACACACTGCCGACACGATTCCATAGAATGCAACGAGGCACGCAACAAATTGTTTCTAAATGACGATCCACTCAGGCAGCCCACTCACACTCAGTAGACGGTTTCGCATTGTTACGTGCTCACAGAAAGCGAGGATGGAATCCTTTGCCGACGACAGTATGACCGTCAAACAACTCAGTGTGAAGAAAAAAACAAATTAACATATTCAGAAAACAAAAAAAATAGGGCTACATGGCCTTTATGCATTATAAAAATACTATCTGTCCCTAAAAATTTTTTATCATGTAAAATTTGGTTGAATAAATGAATGAAATGAAACAAAATCTTTCCAATTTTAAATCAATAAAAATGTTTTTAAAGAATTTTGTAAAATATTTGTTCCTTTTAAATAATCAATACAATGTATTAAATTTTATACAGAATTTTCTAATTATAGATACAATTTTTGTTGAATCTATAGATCTGGGAAAGAGAAAAACCAAAAAACTATATGATTTATGATATCCAAGTCTGTTTTGAATATGATAATTACTAAGGCCGATTTGTTTGGTACAAGGACAATGACGCCTAAAGGGATAAACAAGGATGATGCAGAGTATAAATATCGAGAATACTATACCAGGCAGATTAAGGACTAACTAGATTATTCAAATACAGGCTTTAAAATGGTTCATGCCATTTTGGTCCTAGGTTTCAAAAATTCCATGCATGCATTAAAAAAAAAATGTTTTTATTCAAAATGTATAGGCCTAATCTGTGGCCGCTAATTATCACCAATGATATTATCGTCAGGTCACATATTAAAGATATACACACACAAAATTATATCTTAGTAACACGGAAAAAATAATTAAAATTATCTTAGAATCCTAATTGATTTTGCAATCAAAATCCAAATCATGAAAATAAACAACTTTGGCAGGAAAAAGTTAAAATAATAAATTATGATAGACTGTACTACTGATAAAAATATCCACAAAGACCCATGGAAGGAGTCCGTCACTGACTTGGCAAAAGTATGTGCTCTTTAGATTTACAAATTATGATATATTACCATATCTTGAAGATAAGCCAACTTATTTCAATAGGCGATATATAATAATTGTCAAACAGATATACACAGTTCATAATCATGTGAGGTGTGTTAAGAAAATGAGTCACATTGTACATCTACAACTTGATATTTTGATATTCAATCAACTATGTGAAGTAATTTTGACAACATGGGTTCCAATGTTTTTGAAAAGTTTAATGCTTATTATATTTGACAATATTAGCATTAGTTGACTTGCATGCAAAAGTGTTTTTTTTTTAATACTGATTTTTCTGAAGTGAACGTAAAAGCAACAAGAAATATGTTTTATATCTTTGGGGCAGCTTCCAATTCCATGTATTCTGACATCTGAATTTCAAAATAATCTTATTCCAATTGTATTCAATATAGGAACTTAATTCAAAGACCAAATGGAAGCATGATTCATATCTATATAAGCCTACGGCAATGACAATAAATAAATGATGACAATGACAATGCGATTTCAAAAAATCAGGTAGGCCTATTCAAACGATTTTTCTTTTTTTATATAAAGATGTTTGTAATTTTTTTTGGAAATAATAATAATGGTTTTAATGGATTTATATAGCGCTTTACACCAGACCAGAGAGAGTCTCCTCTAGACCCTGGGTGTACATTAGATAAGGTTCTAGGCATTGCCTAAAAGGCCTTACTAGACAAACAATCGCCTGAAAAACTTCAAAGTATACAGAGTCTAAACTAGGCTATTAGTGAACAGTTTCGTAGCCTAGGTAGTTAGCCAAAAAACCAAGGAGCAACTCCTTTCAAGGCATGAACAAGCCTAGGCATAGCGTCTTCTTTCTAGCCTAGGCCTGGTCTTACATATTTTTTACAATCTAGGCTTAAGGCCTAAGAAAGGACCTAGGCCTAGGTGCCTAATCATTCTAGCTAAGTATGCCTAGCGAATACCGGCCTAGCCTAGGCCTCTGGGCAGAGGCCTGTAGTAGATCCTAGGCCTAGGGCCTAGGCTCCAACAAGAACAACAATGCTAATTGTTACAATACGCAATACAACAGATACACCCCATAATGTAAACACCTAGGTTTTTACGGCCCGGTTTTTACTTTTAATTTACTCACCATCTCACTAATTTTGTATTTTTGTCGTCAATACAATCAATATCGCACAACGTTTTCTCACCACTATGCCGTACTCGATTGTTGTTTTGTTGTTATCGTACTAAGTGAGAGCGTAATAATGAACTGCTCAGGAGGCGTGTTCATTAATAATGACGTAATAAAAGTTAATTCTACTTATCTGTTTACATTTAATTTGACTATGCACGTGATACAAAAATATTCATTTAAACATATATATGTATAAAATAACATTTCCATTGTTTTTTTAACAATAATGTTATATTAAAATATATAAATTTTAGTTGAGTTATTGCGTAAATGACTTGTGATTGGTTGATTTTTTGGAGGCGTGTCAGGGGAAGAACCAGATAGATCAGGTTCTACAATGACGTTCTGGAAATTAGTACTTTCTTCGGTGAAGTAGAGTACAATGTACTGGACTTACAATATGGGACTTAAACGATTTTCTGTTTTGTGTTTCATGCATATGGAAGAACCGGATAGATCAGGTTTTCGGACGGTGTATTCCAGTCACGTTTTACTACTGTACTTACTCATCGACTTTTATATGCTTTGCATTGTACTTAAATAGACCAACAATTTATCCTGTTGGAATTTGACAGCGACATTGGATTTGGAAGGAAGGAAAAGATTTTGGTCTGATAAACATACTACTGGATTGTGCAAAATTTGTGAATGTAATTCAATGGAAGAGTTAAACCATTTCCTTTTTGAATGTCCATCATTAAAACATTGGTCTATACTTGATAAATGTCTTTAAAAACTTCAAAATGATCTTGAAACATGGGGATTCCTATTGGAATGTTTATGATGGGTCTAATGAGTGTAAATGCCACTTAGGCCTATTACTTAATGATTTATCTAATCCTAATAATAAAGTTAATGACCTTTTTGATTTTCACTGTAAACTAATTGTATAAAAGAAAGAAATATTTTAACTAAATTACTACCTCAATAAGTGTAGGTAAAATATCTAGACACCTTTCTTAAAGATTATTTAATGTGTTTTAAAATTATTTTTTTTGTACCACTTTTGTTAATGACAGGTTCGTAAATTTGCATTTTGAACTTACATTGCGATTTTTATTTGATTTAAAACCTCTTTTACTTTACTGTAGGCGTAGGCCTATTAATTTTTAATATTTAAAGATTTGTTTAAGATTATTTAGTTCTTTAAATTTTATGTTTAGTATTAGGATATTTCGGATGCACCATAAAACTTTTCAATTGGAAAATTTAAATTGACAGACAGGACTTTACAAACTATTTGTAGTGTATAGTATACAGCGAAATAGTACTCTGTGTGGGAATGTAAATGAAGAGTTTTTGAAGGTTGATGAAACTATCTTTAGGCTATTACTTCACTTTGTTAATCATTAATTAATGTAAATCGTTTGCTATGAGCTTCAAAATAAATTCAATCCATATTTTCAATTCCTTATTTTGACTATTTAGGTAAGTTATTTAAGTTTCAAATAATTGAATGGAAAGAAAAATCTCTGTCAAATAAAGAACAATAATACCTTTTGTTTTCTTTTTGTATAGACACTCAAATTGGCTGCAGGAAGTCAATTAAGGATTTTTGATAGATAAATCTCTGTAAATATGCAAATATTATCTTTACCAACCAGCTTTTTCAGAAGTAATCGATTTGAATCTCTTACGTAACTTCCTAACAAAATCATTTCCGTTCTTCAGATACAAAACAAATATAGGTCTATGTGGGAGAGGTGAATGCTATTAAACTTATGTTATCTTCCAAAATAGACTACAACCCGTCTTTTAAAACAACTTCATCAGAAGTTTAAAAAAAAGTTCTTGGAATTGTTACAACCCATAAAACTTTAGTGATGGAATGAAATTTAATTTTCATTTTCTTGATATTATTTTTAAGATAATTTGATTGTCTGAAAAACATGAAGGCACCAAAGCATTGGCAAGGTTTCAGGTGTGAAACATGCTAATCACAGAGCCATTTAGGATTTTAGAGCTTCTAATTTTTTTGATTTCATAGAGAAACATTAAGTACAGCATACAAAGCTATTGTACCAAAACATTGAATTGGCAGACCAAAAGGAATTCGGAGAATTGATGTGATGCCAAATTCCATTTCGCTGTGTTTTGTTCCATTCACTGTATTTAGGTTCCTCTTGTTATTTTATTCTGGAAAGTTTTTATGCATTCAAATACAATAAGAAAAAAAAAAGGGGGTTATTTTGAAAGACCAATTTTTGAATTTAAAGTATAGATGAGATTAATGTGAAAGCAATAAATAAAACCAAAGATTCAAGTTAATTGCTGAACCAGATTTAATAAATACATATACAGTACAGAGGGAATAGATGTTACCTTACAAGGTTGATTCCAACACGGGTATCAGCGGAGCCAATACTGTTAGAGTAAAATATTTATTAACACATATAATTATATCTTGATAATGATGATGTTTATGAGGATGATCATTACAATGATGATGATAACATTAATAATAAAAACAATAAAAATTAATATTACAATAATATCGGTCTTACACAGCGCACCATACCAAGGCATATACACACTTTACATTAAAACTATCCATTGCATATTGCATATTGTTATCTTCATTTTTTCATCAGGTTATAAGGACCACCCACATTGGTTTACATAGCAAAGGAATTTAGAAGAATTAGAATAGAATAGATTAACTTATCAATAGAATACTCAACAGACAACACCGGCAAGCGATATAACAGAAACAAAATTGGTCCACTAACGCTCAGCTAAGAAATATTTTTGCATTTTAAAAATATCATAAATAAAACAAATGCAGCATTAAAAATTGTCACTAATTTCATGAATAAAAAAACCCCTATTCATATATATTAAAAAAGTATGTGGAAAAATTCACACCTGCTATCATACAATTATAAAAAGACATAACTACATAAATACAATATTAAATATTCAATTCACTTCTTGAAATATCTATGGTCTACTAGCCAACTAAAATAATCACACATATACATATTAGAGCGTACAAAGGGTGTCATAAATTAAAAATAAAAATAAACACATTCTTTCTCATTTGCGAAAAACCTATGAAAAACTAATCCTCAGCTTTCATACAGCGTAAATAAAAAATAAATACATTAATAAAATTGTGATTACTTTGAAACTACAGGGGTGAATCCAAAAATGATTTTCCTAGGGAGACAAAAGTGTGAAGTACATAAACAGTCCGAGGAAGAGAGGGTTGAGGTGTTCCCTTACCTACAGTAAGATTTTAAACAATCGTTAATCAAATATAATACATTTCTAGATAAATTACAATTACAACCAATTTAATGATTTAAATTTAACAATTACCATACTACTACTATCCAGTGAGTTAACAAAAACATGAAAAAAAAACCAAAAAACAAACCAATAATTATTCACATCAGTTGTTTTACTTTTTATACAAAGAAATCATTAGATTATGATAGGTAGTCTTCTTATTTAAATATTAGCACCATTAAATCATCAGCACACTACAATACACATTCACTCAACACTAGCTCATATAGACAGCTTAGGGTGAAACACTACATGAGACTTGCTTCACGCCTTCAGCCTACTTGGCCCTCAGCCTATAGGGTCTCCATCCTTCAGGTGCCTAAATTCTTGTTATGAGGCTGCCTAAAGATGAAGACCGAAACTACTCTATTAATGCCCTGCCTGGATCCAACACTTCAGCTGGATATCATCAGAATAAATTAATAAACTAATCTAGTTAATGAATAGTCAGTTGCTTACATATAAACAGACACTATCTAATTTAAATTCAAGATAATAAATTACTTACATTGTATATTACAATATGTCTAAAGTTTTCAAATGAAAATTAGGACAAAAAAAAAATTGTTCTTGCCGAATAATTTGCATTTAAAACAAATACCCTTAAATTTTTACCAGCAAATTTACGGATTTTCATAAAAATATTTGTCAAAAATTGATTTTTATCTGTTATTCATTAAAATCAACAATTCAATATATTTTATGATTTTTTGAGGTTTAATTCCAATTTTGTTGGTTAGCACTATATATTAATGTTCATTTTGTGATTGAATTATTATTACTGTACAATACAATTCCTGATGGAACATCTGTTTAGTCCCTTGTCTATTCAAGTATTGTATTAAATTGTTTAAAATACATATATATAGACTTATATACTTTGCTTTTTTTGGTTTTTTTGTATTACATATATATATTTATATATTTTTTATATAATATATTATATATAGAGGAAATTTTTATCCATGACAAACATGACCTGTTGATTGAGGAAGCTTTTTTCCAGATTTATTAATCTTAAAATTTGTTTATAACATCCATATACACAACAATAATTATTAATTTTAAGTAAAATTAAAAACACAGGTGGTGTAGTGCATCCTCTGATGACAACACAAGCATTTTGTTTGGTAAATTATGGCTACATGTTCAGCCAGGCTTGACACATTCTGGTTGAGAAAGTTGTAGTCTCAACAAGCCTGCATTGACTCATGCCTGGCTTGATATCTCTCTCAATCCAGAAAACTCGACCTAGTAGGCAAGTATGGCTGGATTGTTAGTCTAAACGTAGCATACATATGCTGGCAGTTTGGTGGAAATTTATATCTCCCATGATTCAAAGGGTATAATTCTCCATAAATTGCCCTATAAGATATCTCATACTTTGACATGAAAGTCAATCTTTTAATTACTTGGAAACTTAATTTTCTGAGATTGTTCTTCTTCCTCTTTTGATCATGCTGTTAATTTGCCAGTGGTGGCACAGATACAATCTTCCAACTACTAATAACACCCAGGAGTCCACACATTCAACATCAAGATTTCTATTACCATAGCGAAGGTATTTCTGTGGCTTTCTATGCGCACAAGTAACTTATAAAAGCCTGATCTTTACAAGGTATTGTTCTTCCTCAGTTTTTTTTTTCTGTACCTTCATGGCCACTGCTTGTGTGTACCCCAAAAGGGTGAGGGAAAAGTTCTCCAGTTTGCTCTCAGTATATGCCAGTGTCCATCGATAGGCTGGCCTCTGTGCCCTAAATTGCATGTAAACAGTCCAGTGATGTGTTTCTTTCCTGGTAGCTTTTCGGTTTCCATTAATTTTTGTTTCCTTCCTTCTGAGCACTACTGCAGCGGATATGTGCTCTTTATAAATCGTATTATTACTTATTTTATTTGTGCATTTTAACCGACTTATACGCTTTGATAACTTAAGCTATGTAAATTAAAAACCACTATTGCTCGCCTTCTCAATTACAGCAGTAAGTTACACTGTTTCCGAGTCATCCAATTCCTCCTAAAAAATTAGCCCTCAGTATGTGACAGGCCACTGTACTTGCCTCTCTAGATATGTCAGTCGTTGGTCCAAAACCTGCTTATCTGGAAAATATAAACATAACCTTTATTATTACCATTTTCAACAATTATTTTTAGTATAATATGTTTATGTACTTTGATGCAGTGAATTGCAATAAAGGGTAAAAAATTAATCTACTTGCAGTAACTTCATAATAATAATAATAATAATAATAATAATAATAATAATAATAATAGTGTAGTTTTATATTGCGCACATATCCATCTAATGTAAGATGCTCAGGGCACTTGATATGTGGACTAGGAACTCGATCAATGACTTTCTTCGCCCCTAAGGGTCCCTTCGTGTCTATGCTACCCGGTAACCCGGTACCAGCAACTCTCGTTGTCCACCACAGGGGCTGTCTGTTCCAGTACACCGGGGTATCCCCCTACTCGTCTTGAAGGATGTACTGGGTTCTTTATAGCGCACACAAGCCATTGTATACACTGGGCCTACGGTTTATAGTCCTTATCCGAGAAGACTTGTTCTACCACCAGAACCATAGGCGAGCGTGCCGTTCGAACCAGCGCCGATATTATGGCTATAGCTTGCGGCGCCTCAGCTAACCACTCAGCCATTCGACTCACCATAACAGGAAAGATTATCCTCTGCTGTTGGTCAAAACATAATTTTACTGATGATGATTATGAAGATGAAGATTATGGCACTCACACTGATGAAAGTAGCAATAAGGTGAGTTGAGCTAACCATGTGCACAACTTTTGAGTGGCTATGTGTTCAGTGTAGTGCGTCAAGCCAGGCTTGACAAATTCTGGTTGAGAAAGTTGTAGTGTGAACAAGCCTGGGGTTGACTCATGCCTGGCTTCATATTGCTCTCAATCAAGAAAACTCGACCTGGTTGGCTAGTATTGCTGGAGTGTTTGTCTAAACGTAGCCTAAATATGCCGGCAGTTTCGTGGAAATCTATATCGCCCTGTGTTTCTTAGCGTATAATCCTCCATCTTTAAGTAACAAGGTCAAGTCTAGAGACCACATTGTTTGTGTGCTTGACAACTTTATATTGTTTTTTTTTTTCAGGTGAGTTAAGTGTTGGGGGGGGGGCGGGTGGTGTAGATGGTGGCACACTGAACAAGACTGCCTTTTATGGACCTTTCAAACTGATCAATCGGAGCAGCACTATGAATACGGGCGTGTCTCGCATACACTTGCGCTGTTTCACCAATGCACATGCTTGTGTATGTTTTTTACGCTATCATTTGGTGGGGGGTCTTAGCAACAATATCCAAGGGGGCAGGGCTTAGAGGAAGGGTCTATTCCAGTGACCAGGGAACTGAAGCCTTTGCTTTTTGGGCATTAGACACTAATGTATTAATTAATAGATAAATAAATGATAATAAGAATACTTACAACGCTGAAGTACCATGCTATCTTTGGTTGACTGTGGCTGCAACAGCAGAGCATTCATTAAATTTAATCCTGTTTTATAACGTGAAATACACTATAAAAAAAAAGGGAAACAAATGTTATCAGTAAAGATCTTCCTAGATAGATTTACAAAGCACTCTACCACCTAAGCCATGCTTTGTTTGGTATTCACCCCTGTCTTTCTCTGTCAGCAAGGGTATGCTATTATCATCATAACAGTATTGATAAACTTTTGAGAAGAAAAGGGCAAAGAAAATAAAACTGCGTATTGTTCGGTGTCCAGAATGACTGCTCTAGTATTTTATTTTATTGAGGGCCCATTGGGAAATACAAGTGGGAGGGAGGAAAATATGAATGAATGAATGAATTAATTAATTAATGGATGAATGGAGATGAAGGAAATGAATAAAATGAATGAAAAGCATCCATATCCTTAATCAATTACCAAAGCAAAAGGACTGACCTGGATATTGCTATCATTTACACTATGCTCGTCCAGGGCAGTGGTCAGGCATAGTTCAATAGCATAGCTGTACATCAGCAGCTCAGCTGTCATTGGTTGTTTCCCTTCTGAGAACTTTAACGGTTCAAATAAACTCTTGTCGTACACTTCCTTCGTTTTTTGTAAGCATTCTTTGTAGTATCCATGAAGCTTGTTGACAACTGTAATTAGGTGTGAAAATGGATATTTAATGTCCTTTTTTGTGATCTAGGATAGGAGTATTTTTTGGAGTGAATCACACCAAGGTTAACCCACAAAGTCCGAACACTTGTTTCCAGTGGGATCCTTCTCGTTGTGAATTGGGCAGTACACAGGGAGACAATCCCCTACTGTTTTTTGAAGAGTGTACTGCGTTCTTTATTGTGCACATGTGCCATAATGTAAAAGGGCTTAAAGGTCTCATCCGTAACTTGCAATTTAGCCCTCAAGCTGAAACACAAGGAGACCAGTGATGGGAATTGAACCGGGAACCAAGAGATCTACATGGTTCAGTGCAAACACAATGGTACCTTCAATTTAGCCAATTGAGATATGCCACTTTCATAAGCTTAACTATTTATTATCATTTTATACTAAAAAATTATTTAATATTAAAAACAACATTACTTCTCTGAATCTAAAATTTTATTTTCTTTCAACTTTCATAACATTATATTAGGATAAATTATATATTAATTACAATATCATGACATTTTATTATACTATATATTATTTATTTATATTATTTATTAATTATTTATTATATCCTTTATAATTATTGCATTATGTGTTTATTGTAATATAAATTATTATATTATACTATAAATATATAATATACTAACTTAATATGTGCATGGAATTATATAATTATTTTATTTATATAATTATTGTATTAATATTATATAATGATATAATATTATTACATTATTTATTAGTTATTATTTGAGGGGAGGCCTTACCGGTGCACACGGCATTGGATGGTTTAAGAGCAAGTGATGCAAATTTCTCGCGGGCTCTACGTAGACTATCTTCAAGGTATTCCAACACCTTCAGGTATAGCAATAACTGCTCCAATTGTCTAATGAAGAAAATCAGTGACAGAATATATACATTTATAGTTTGATGGTTTAAATGCTCAACTATCAATGCCCTTACCTTGGTTGAAATCCTTCAAACGGATTAATAATAATAAAAATACCGCATTTCCAAAGTCCTATGAGATGTGGATTAAATAGCATCGTATGTTTTCATCTAGTAACCAATAAAATATGTAGTAGATCATAAGGGAGGACACAACAGAAAAGAGAGAATGAGGAACCAGACAGGGAATTGAGGTGTTACAAGTTGTATTTCTTTGGTAGCTTAGCAATTTTTCAGAAGGTGGGGGCCTGGGGTGGGAGACAACATTTTGGCGCAGCAGGAACAGTTTGGTTTCCGAACCTCGAGGTCAGGGTTTCAATCTCTCGCTGTGCACTGCATTTGTGTTTTTGAGCAAGGCACTTTATCTGCGTTGTTTCTCTCCACTCGGGAGTATAAATGGGTACCTGGTGGGCTTGACTGCTACTGCGCCAATATGGCAGCAACACATGTGGACCCAATGACCAGGGTAACCTAAAGGAAAGGCAATGTATAAATACCAAAAAAAACAAATATCTACATCTTGTCATTGGAACCAGCCACTCTGTGACAGTTTTCTATCTACACGTATCATCTATTAATAGTTATCTACATATGAAAAAAATATACTCTATGTATTGTTATTCATTTTCATTATTCTCCAATTAAGAAGAAAAATGTTTGCAAGTCCAGTTTATGTATCATCTTATAATTATTCTTAATTACATTGCATACATACCTATGAGCATCACTAACAAATACTAGCTCATCCCTTGCTCTGTGCATGAGTGACTCTGCTAGCGATGTTGTGCGCGAACTGGCAACTTCCAGAACTGCTTCCACTATACCGAGCATCTTGTTCAGGTACTCAACGGTCTCGGTATGTTCAGGCTGTGGAGGGGAATAATTGTAATCATGTAGTTATGTATGGAAAAGAGGTTGAATGTTAGTCCACTTGTCAGGTGACATGCTATATCTTGATTTCATTGGTCTGTGTGAATGATCATTTCCGGTTAAAATGAACATAATAATATTTAGGAGATAAATAAATGAGACATAAAAATGATATATTTTACAATGATGTCCTAGCCACATAAGCCGATAATTTGGGAACCACACCATCAAAACTTTTCTGTCCATATACGGGCATGATAATGTCACATGACATACAATATATGGGGCAATTCAGTTTTTTAGTAGTGAGAAAATTCCTGACATATTTCAAGATTGAACACAAAATCTTGGAACAGGAACCTTTGCCACTAATCCACAATGTTCCCCATGAAATTATCCATTGTAAATAAAATGAAAATATATGAAAAGAAATCTTGCAAAATTCTCAATGATTTTAATGATCAGGGTAATAATTTGAAGTGAATTATTACATCTTCTGTAAATAAAACAAAATTTAAATAAAATAAATCAAATGAAATCTGCATAAATATATTTAACAAAAAAAAAAATCAGACCTCAAGCAATGTTTCTTCAGGGAGATCAGGTGCAACAAACTGGATGAAGCCTTCCATATTGGGAGGAGATGCAGCAAATGTGAATGGCAAGGATCCTTGTGTTGATGATAAGCTATCCCTATGGGCTGAGCCCCGCCGGGAGATGCTTGACAACCCTGATGAGCGGTTAAAACCAAACATTGGCGGGCTGGCACTGCCAAATCCAGCTAGAACAGAATAAAGTAGGAATGGTTATCTTTGTAAATAGTTTTATTTATTTTATAGTATTAATTCTTAACGACAACATTTATTTGTAGCTAAAAAAAGTTGTGTAATTAAATTAAAGTTTTAAAAAATAAATTAAAATAAATACTTTGATTAATTCTAATCTAATCACCATCACACAAATGGGCAAATCCATTATTTTCTTGAGGGTATGCTGCAGTTTCACCCAGCATACACAACCTGCTTATGGTTGGTATTCAGGCAGAGGCTCTAGTTTTTATATTGTTATTAGTCTATTTGCAGGTGAAATATATAAATATCCAAGCATGCTGAAACACTACCAAATAAGAAAATACATTAAAATATAATTCAAGAAGTGCTATGTTAAGTATGGCTTCCATAAAATTGCTACACTGTTGCTACAGCGTTTTCTTGATGCAATCAACAAAACACTTTGATTCGACTAATAACCTGCATTGCCAAAGCTGTCGGGGATAGTGCGTAACAACTTTATGGAACCATAGCTTTACTACTGAGTCATACCAGTGAGGAGGTCAACACTGTTGTTTGAGCCTGATTTTCCAAGGTTTGAGAATGCTGCTTTGTACATAAACTGGTCGGACAGTCTACCAGAGCTGGCGCTTTTGTTGATGCTCGAGTGCGACGAATAGCTTGAACTTCGATCTTCACATTCTGATAGTGTTTTTCGACGGGCTGTTCTTCGATTAGAAGGTATACTTAGTGGCTAAAATAGATTTTAAAATCAGAGCATTATCATTACTTGAATAATCTGTAATGCTATAACTTTTCCCTGTGATAATATAATTAGAAAAATTTTAAAAATCGGAAAAAAAGCGGATATAAAATAGAAAGTATTGTTTACCCTGACACAAACACACATATACACCTACACAAATACTAACTATTAGCAGGAGTAATGCTTAACATTGGTACATGGAATTTAAATAAAAATAGCTTTGTTTGTTTTCTCCTACCTTTTCGTCTCTCTTTTCCCGGGGGAGGAGCCTAGCCCTGTTGGCCTCTTTGATCCGCTCCTGATATGATCCAGGGGACATACCTTCATGGGTTACTCTAGCATTTGCACTAACTGAATCAACAAATGAATAGATTTACCTTTGATTGTGCTTGTAAAGTTGTGTGGTCATCATCAAATGATTTCTTTGTTGGCGATCCTATAATCGGTGGCAAGCTCATTGGACTCCCTACACTCACTGGTGACCCTCTAGATGGACTTTTTACTGGAAGATAACATATTCATAAACAACTTATAGACAAATACAGACAATATACGTATCATTTATACATAGTACTGTAAACAATATATACTAAGATTGCTTAGTAATCATTGGATGTGTAGAATAAAGATCCTACCTGACTTCGTTTTCATCAGACTTGATGGGGAGGTAGCACAACGCTCCCTCAAGGGGCTCTCTTGCTGCATGGACACGCGGTGCATCAAACCAGGCCCGGCCTTGGCATTTGTTGGCGAGACGAGGCCAAGGCCTAAAACTGGACTTGTTGACTTGGAGTGACTGGAAAGGCTATGGAACTGAAATGGAAAAGCATTAATAAGTACCTGTATTTGATATTATCTTTTTGAATTCATGCTCAGTGCCTGGTATATTTAAGCCAAGTTTTAGAATCTTCTATCTATCCAAAGTATGGCTTCATCATTACTTCCCATCCTTAGATAAGAATATACACATATAATTATTTCAATTACGTGACAGATCAAGATATTCACAATATAAATTTACAGAAACTACAATCAACCATCTAAGAAAGTTGAAAACATAACAATCCTGCAGTGTCTGTCTGTTATTGGATTTACTAAGTTAAGATCAAGATATAAATGTAAACAATGTTTACCTGCGGCGCACTTCGACTGTAGTTGATAGTTGGTGTAGTTTGGCTTCCGGATCCATGGCTTACATCACGTCTAGTACGAGGAAGGGACGTTACAGGAATTGGTTTTGATTCTGGGGATGGAGTGCGTTGAAGTGGAAGACTAGTTGGCCTAAAAATACAAAAAAAAAAATTGAATGATTAAAGATATACTGTATTTAAAGCACTCAATTCAAGGGTCAAATAAGAGACAGATGGAAATTATTCTGGTTTCAAAGATTTATTTAGACTTTTAATAATAAAGATACTTAAATTGATTACCAGCCAATTTATTGTACATAAAGGACATACAACAGTTTTTTTTGTGTGCCTGTTAATTAGCGAGGATTTTTTTTAATTTATAAATATTGGACTTTATTGATATACATTAGGCCCTACAGTAGTTACACAGTGTGAACATTAAATGATGTGACACTGTCTGCTGATTGTCAATGGCAGTTTTAAAATGATCGTCATTAAAAATGATTGGTTGTGCGCACGCAATGGCTTTGCTTTCTCTACAGAATCGCACCAACTAACCAGGCACAGTGATTGCCCGGCTTAATTCTAATGCTTATAATTACAAAGGAAAAGCAAAATAATGGTTTTAAATAAATCTTTTATATAGAAATTAGGTTTTTGTACTGCTGTATTTTTTCAGCCATTTGCAAAAATAAAATCAATGTGTGTATATCAGAAATTCAGTATGCTAAGGGTTAGGAAAAATAAACTATGTTCTACACTATATCAACAAATAAACTCACCTATTTTCAGGTGTGGTTGGTTTTGATATATGTACAGGGCTTCCTCCAGGTGATATTGTAAAGGTAACAGGTGAGTTGCTATAAAAAATAATTCAGTTAAATTACATATTGATTATAAAGTTGAAGTATAGTGACACTGCACTGTGTCTACCAATTCCATGCATAAGTACATAAAATTTAATGTATTCTGCATACCAGCATAAAGCTACACTATATTCACTGCAGTACTACAAACAATTAATATGAAATCATGAAAGACGGATTGGTAGAGACTAATTTAATGAAACCCACTACATATCATTTAGCACTGTGTCTTTGTTTAGTGACAGTTTACAATTAAATTTATGTTCATGAACAGTTCTCTACCTTGTTAATGCAATAAAATCATTAGAAATGGACTTCTTTTGTGTACGATTACTACTCTCTGAAAACAAACAAATTTAATTTGGATATGAGAATGTAAATAAAAATATTTAAAATTCATGCTTGTATGAGAAAAAATGAATAAATTAGACAATTATATATATATCTGTCTCTTATACACATCTGTTGTGTGGTCATCATCAAATGATTTCTTTGTTGGCGATCCTATAATCGGTGGCAATATTCTAATATTCTATAAACATTTCTCACTTCCCATAAATGCCTCCCACCCAAACATATAAAATTAAATTATTATGTTCCCTCGCATCATGAATATATATACACCCCTCCACAACCTCATACATTTTCCTACACTTTGATTAATACTGTACACACCTTTTAGACCATACATTCAACAATTGATATCTTAGGAATGTGTTATGCATAATTTGCACTTTGACATATGAGTAACTGCAATCTGTGCATAACCATTTACTAACGTTTATTTGTATATTACTTATTAACTCTATATTCAGGCATAGTTCATCATAAGCTTGTCAACTTTACAAATCCATCACTCTATAAACTGATGTCCTCATCAGTTATGTACGGAATGTTTTAGACTATTGTAAACCGAGAATGTCGCCAGACTTAATTCTAGACACAACAAATTGTTATTTCTATAAATATGTAAAAGTTACCTGAATTATTACTTGGAGGATCTACAAAAACAAAGTCCTGAAAAACAAAAATCAAATGACATAAAAAAGGTTTCTGAAACATTTTATATTATCTGTATGATGATAGACATATTTAGCACAAAATAATTTATGTAATTTTTCAATTTTATTTCTTATTTCGATCAAACAATGGATTTATAAGGCGCATAATACAGCTGTCTCTGTGCGCGAATAAAGATAAAACAAGACCAATGAAGTGAAGAAAGCAAAGTCGATACGCTGGGCTACTTGTTCAGTCGCAGAATTATACCTCAGAATACAGAATTTGAAGCTAGAATGGTGTGACTGGAAGCAAGCATCTTAATAACCAGGCTAAACCTCTACTACTGAAGCCCCAATTGCCCTTGACATTTTTTGGTAAAACTAACCAAGATGCTGGTTATTTTTTGCCATAATTAGTCCAATGCGAACAGCCCAGGAAAATTACCGCTCAGGAAAACTTACAGAGACTAGTGGATTGTGCCCAGTAAAACTGACCAGGATAATAGTTTACTGAGCCAAGAAGTCCACTGGAAACACACATCTTGGTTAAACTTCCCCAGTAATTTGGGCGTTAATAATAAATAATAAATGTATATGGCAATTTCCAGTAGAAAATTGTTACTAAATGGAGATGTCACAGATTAGCGCCTTCTATGGTATATTTTCATCGCTCGGTTAGTTTTACCATTTCTTGCAGTAAAACGGACCGGCTCAAAAATCTGACAGCAGTAAGATTAACCCATTGGAATGAAACCTACAGTTTCAGAAAAATCATCCTTTTCCAGTCCAGTGCAATTGTGGCTTAACAATAATTTAACAACAATATGGCTATAATTTTTATTTAATATGCTTTATCTTTTTTCATTTTTACTGTGTTAATGTCACTTTTTTTTTAGTGTGCTTGTCACATTTTGTTTGTTTACTCCACTTTACCACTTTGTTCGTTGCTTTTTGATTGTTTTGTTGGAGATTTTATATTGATATTTCATTGTGTATTTTTAATGTTAAACTTCAATTTGCAATAAAGTGTTATCATATTCGAAAACAATGGACAAGCAATTCAATCAATATTAGTGGCATGACAAGGAAGCGATATCACAGGACATGGGAAAGTGGAGGGAATTCAAAGTACTATCCACAGGATTCAAAGTATTGATTGTTATATTGATTCTGATTGTCAAACTGAATGATGAATAGAATTGTACAAAGTTAGACAATTAACATCACTAATCATTGGAGATGTAAGCTACAGTATTTTACTTACTGATGCTATGGCTTAATGGGCAACCCCAGCAGGGAGAAGGGGTCAGGAGTGCTTAGGCTCCTCTGTCCAACAAGCGAAGCCCTTCCCTCTCCCCCACTAACCAAAACTTTTCAGATCAAAAGAATAATTACATGAGTTTTACACAAGTTATACAGCCACTTAGTAAAGCTTAAAAATAGAACAAATGTGTCAAGATATTTTAATGTGCTATGTCCTGGAGACCTGCATCTGGGCCCCATGGGGCTTCTCTTTCCTTGGCCTCCACAGCAAATTATAAGACCTGCCGGTCAGACTGATTTCTCCCCTTTGATATGAATCCTAGACCCCCCCCCCACATTATATTTGACCCTTATTATTTTTACATCATATCCCTCTATTAAGGTAAAAAAATATATGAATATGCATTCACTAACTAGTGTGTTTGTAACTGCTAAAAAAATTGTAATAAATAAATCACTTCTTACTTCTTCTAGTGGCCCTACTTCTGACCCTATACTTGAGGGTGTACCATACTTGTCCGTGTATCCCTCCAGTAAAGACGTATCCTGCATTGAATGTTTCTTCTTAGCTATGTAGTTGTCTTCGGGGGAAGATATCGGCATACCAGAGAGCGGGGAAGCCGACACTGCTTGCACCTCGGGAGAACTGGAGGAGAATGAATGGCAACGAACTGGCACTGGAACGGGAGAAGCTGGAAAAATATTAAGCATGAAAATTAATGAATACTTTTCATTTAAAAATAAGGGATAAAACTAATAGATCGATTCTTTCCTTTTTGTTTGCTTTGTGCCAAACAGTAGCTCAATAAATAATTTGTACAGTATATGTAAAATACGTACAGAATACATGATTAGTAGATTTTAGTAGATTAGAAAAATGGAAAAAACTTACTTGTGGCAAGATTCTTCTTGGTCAGAAACGAATGCGTAAAGAAACTATCTGCAAATTGAAAAAAACATTCTCATATTAAAGCAGCTGTTTATTTGTCCTTGTAGAAAGAACTTGAAAAAACATATTTATTTTTCATTATCAGTTTTTCAATAATGAATTCATGTACTCTAATAAGTGTTCTCTTACCCCATTCTATACGTTCTTGAGCATTCTTCTTTAACAGGCCTATCAACAAATTCTTCAAGTCTTTTGAGGTTTCTTTAGGAATACTACACCAGGAAAAAAATAGTTAAGAATTTATGAGTTATTTAGCCAATTATCTACTCATTCATGTATCAAGAGCTTTGATGAGGATAATGATGAAGATAATAATGATGAAAAGATGATAACAATGATGATGATGAAAAAAAGATGATGTTGATGATTATAAAGATGGTGGTGATGGTGATGATGATGACAATAATAATGATAATGATGACAATGAAGATGATGATGACAATGAAGATGATGATGATGATGATGATGATGATGATGATGATGATGATGCTGGTGATAATAATTAGTACGATAATAATTTTTAATACATATTGAACATAACATCTTTGTTGTATTGATATTTTTTTTACAAAAATAAGCACAAAATGACTAATCTTATCTCTATTTAGTAACAACATTTCTTACTTTGGAGATACATTTTTAGATTTGAGGTAGAAGGTTTTCAACTCTTGAGGATTTGAGGCTTGAAAGGGTGCTTTGCCAGTTAGACACTGGTAGATAATGGTACCAATGCTCCACAGATCAGCCTTGCCATCATACTGCTGCGACATGATCACCTCGGGAGCCTGCAAGATACATCATTACCAATCTTTTTTATAACATGTAAACAATGATGGAAGATTGATGTTCAGTTTATTTCAAACTAAAGCATATACAGTATTAGCAACTATACTATACATAATATACTAAAATATATGCTATTATAGTATTACTATTACTGATACTATATATGCTTTGTGTTGTGAATATATAGTAGTAAAAGTGATGTAAATGTAGATGCAACTGACCAATCTGAATGAGTTATTTAGAGATCAATACAAATTCAATCAATTCGAAGTGTTTTTTATTGCAATTTGTAAACAAATTGAAGTTTAACAATCAATATAAGAAGTAGACAAACAGGAAAAATACCACATGAAAATTAATTAAAAAATTCAATATACATGTTAAAAATTTAAAAAGGAAAAATAGGTAAAATTCAAAAAGTAGAAAAATTACTCTTGGTAATTATTAAATATAAGACAGGAATAGACACATGACCAAAAGCATGCAAGTTTAAGTATGTTTATGCTGTTGTTTTGTCTGATCTTATTCAAGAAGTGGGGCTTAGCGTAATTGTCCATTGTGTCTGGAAAAAACAATGTAAATCACAAGGGGCTTTAGTTTTGTTTAGAGCATGAATATTACTCAATGTGATTGGATAAAATATGGTAAACATGCATATCCTTCAAGAAGTGACAAAGCATACCATATAGAGAGGAGATCCACACAGTGTAGCTGCCATTGTATCACCTTTCAGTGATCTCGCAAAACCAAAATCAGCTGGAAAAAAATTTAACAGTGATTCATTTTTATATAATGTATACTTTATGGTATGTTATTTTTTCACCATAAACAAGCATTTTTTAATTAAGCGATACAAACATACTGTATAGATTATTTGATAATTACAATGGATGCCCACTATAAAATGTGGTATTTAATATACCTTAATGAACAATTAATGTATTTCAATAAAATACATGACATTGGACATGTTATGTATTGACTATATAAGAAAAAAGGGTTTGATAAATCATTATAAGCTGGATTAAGGGGATTTTTCATTAATACAAGAACATGTAAATGAGTTTAACATGTTTGATGGAATATACTAAATGTGTGCAATGTACCACAATGAAATAGAAGACTATTTATATAATTTTTTTTATCTAAATAATATAAATTTTTCATTTTGAAAGTTAAAGATTTCTTACCAATTTTAATTTTGATTTCACTTGGTGACGGTTCTTTCTTCTCACTTACGTAACTGAGGAGGAGATTCTGCGGCTTTAAATCCCGGTGAATAATCCCCTTTAAACACATGGCTTTCATCGCTTTAGCTGTAAAGTATTTTTAAATTAAACCAAATAAATCATATTTTAAATATTAACCATATTCAGATAATAAATGTGGATTTAAACAAAATGGAAATTAATAATTTATTGTGATGAAATCTACATCAGAAGCAAAATGAATCATATTTTATATATTATCCATATCCGATATTATGTGTATTTCAACATATGGTAATTAATCATTTAATATCATAAAATCTACATTGTTTAATTGAATTTTTAATTAATGGCTTAATTAATGTAACTGCACCCAGCAAGGACAAAGTAAAAACAGAATAAAAAATATCCTAGTCAATTAACTGATGCATAAATAATATTGTTAGAATATTCTTTGAATTTACCAAAAATTTGCTGCTAATTAATTTCAGAATTTTAATATAATAAGCCTAGCAAAAACTGAATTGTTTCAATATGTAAAAATATTTGAAGTTGTTAAGAGTTTGATTTTTTTAATTAACGTGTTTAAGCCATGTCCAGACTACCAAATCTTATTTGACAAGAACATGGGGCATGCCTAAATATAGTCATGACACCACCTTATATAGGCACATCATGACTATATATGGGCACGCAACAGTCTTTTCTCAAGTAGAATTTGATAGTCTGGACTGGCCATTACCTGGTTTTTTTTTTGCAGGGATATTTTTGTAGATTTTATCACATATATTTTTTGAAATGTCGTTGATGGTCATCTGTTTTCATTGCAAACATAATTTGAAGTAATCAGTAGATTTGTTTATATTTATAATTATTTATGTATACTTCATCCAAAAAATATATATATAAAACAGTAAATTTACATTATAATATGAGATATATTGCAAAGATTGGTATGGTTCAAGAATCTTAAAATTGGAAAAAAGAATAAATACTAAGAAAAGCAATTAATTATATTCAATAAATACATGAATGTCTGATTGATTGATTAATCTTGAATGAGTGTAAGACTGAATATCATTAAAGGAACATAATGATGAATGAATGAATGAATGAATGAAGAATGAATGGATAACGAATATTGAATAATAAATAAACGGAATGAATGAATAATGAATATTGAATAATGAATAATGAAGGAATGAATGAATAATTTAATGAATGAATGAGAAACAAGCATGCAATGACAAAGGTCACAGATAACAAAGGAAGGATAATTGATATAAATAAAGATAAATGTAAATTCTAGATCAAGTAATAAATTATAAATTCATTATTTTCTTGCATCATGACATGATGTAGAATTGTTATCAATAATTTCAGAAAAAAAGACAATCAGCTTACCAATCTGTGACAAAAATATTCTGATAGTGTCTTCACTTAGTGTTCTTTTCACTAAAATGCAAGTAAAAAAGAAATAGAAATGGTACAGAAATCTACATAAGAAATGGGTATTTCAACAGTTTTTTTCTTGCGGCCTAAAATAGAAGGAATCTCATTTGTAAATTACCTTGCAAATACTCTGCTAGATCTCCGCCATTGCAGAATTCCATTACAAGGTACACATAACTGCTTGTTACCTATAAGACAATATATGATTCAGATTAATATTAGTAAAAAAGGGATTTTAATAAAAGGGATATTAAGAAATAAAATATATAAGAAATATAATAGCTTTTAACTAAAGCCCCTATCGCACTGGACTTAATTTGGTCAAATTAACCGAGTCACTGGCTAAATTGACCAAAAAAAATCCAATCCGAACGTCGGCTACAATTCCCTCAGGGTTAAATTAACCAAGCCGAATGGTTAATTTTACCGACCTCAGCCTGCCCAGTAAAACTTACCACGGTCTCGGTTAAACTAACCACGCTGGTCAAGAAGTCCAATCCGAACGTGCAACACGGTTAAAACTTCTTCCATGTTGACACCGCTCGAACAAAACCGGAAGTTGAAGTCACTAACTAGCGCCCTCAATAATATTTTTTATACACAAGGTTAAATCTTGGTAAAACTATGGTAAAACTAACCGCGTGAATAATCCAAGTGCGAACAATGGTGAAATGTACCCATGACTCTGGTTAAATTTACCATTTTTTTAAATCCAGTGCAAACAAGGCTTTAGACAGTCTGTGGCTATATTGTTAAACAAGTCTTAAACCAAATTTTTAATTCTAAATACATCCACACATAAATCAACACCTGTCTCTTATACACATCTAGATGTGTATAAGAGACAGGTAGTAAAAGTGATGTAAATGTAGATGCAACTGACCAATCTGAATGAGTTATTTAGAGATCAATACAAATTCAATCAATTCGAAGTGTTTTTTATTGCAATTTGTAAACAAATTGAAGTTTAACAATCAATATAAGAAGTAGACAAACAGGAAAAATACCACATGAAAATTAATTAAAAAATTCAATATACATGTTAAAAATTTAAAAAGGAAAAATAGGTAAAATTCAAAAAGTAGAAAAATTACTCTTGGTAATTATTAAATATAAGACAGGAATAGACACATGACCAAAAGCATGCAAGTTTAAGTATGTTTATGCTGTTGTTTTGTCGGATCTTATTCAAGAAGTGGGGCTTAGTGTAATTGTCCACTGTGTCTGGAAAAAAACAATGTAAATCACAAGAGGCTTTAGTTTTGTTTAGAGCATGAATATTACTCAATGTGATTGGATAAAATATGGTAACCGCGTGAATAATCCAAGTGCGAACAATGGTGAAATGTACCCATGACTTTGGTTAAAGTTACCCTGGTTAAATTTACCATTTTTTAAATCCAGTGCGAACAAGGCTTTAGACAGTCTGTGGCTATATTGTTAAACAAGTCTTAAACCAAATTTTTAATTCTAAATACATCCACACATAAATCAACACCCAATCAGAATAAGGAATTGGGTTAAAACTGGTTTAACAATTGCCTTTAATTTTATTGATGTTCCTAGATTCAGACCTTTATTTATAAACAGATAGGATTTATTAATTAAGGGAATGGGAGATTCATGAGAGCCACGGGTCATGGGGTACCACATGCCTTCATGGGGTCCATAAGAAGAGCTGTGTGCTGTTTTGGGCAAAGGCCTTCAGATTCAGAGCTTAGAATGCAAATGGTGAATTCCATTATTATTTTGATGGTATTTGATATTTCATTTTGTTTACATTAACAGGAACCTATTATAGAATACAGTAGCTTTCCTATAACATACAACATATTGGAACTCTTAAATAGTTTACCAATTAATTCATCCATCCATTGAAAATTGTTATTTGTCCACACGCCATGCACACTCTACATGATAGTTCCGTGGTAATACTGTACAATGCCTACTGAGTGTGACCATGGAACTATCCAGGGACAAAAAAAAAAAACGTCACTACTCAACTCAACTAAACGACTATCTATGTTTACAAGCATTGATCTTGTGAAAGCAAACTATTAATTGTTATTACCATTATCAATCAGTAACAGTAATCATATTGTTTTTTATATCTATTAATTATATTTACTAACCAGGCTTCATGGAAAAGATAGTAATAATACAAATAAATAAACATAATCTACTATGAAAGGGATTAATGGCTGACCATGGTTTGACACTTCGCATATCATATTAACAGCTGTCCAAAACTCACTGACCTGGATCTAATTTACATTCAATACTTACTCAAGCCTAATGCATATATCGCCCAATTAGTAGGCCTAAACACTATCAACATTTAGAGATAAAGAGACACCTGAAAATACTTGAATTGAAAATGAAATCACCCAAAATGCTTTGTTCAGCTAAAATGTATATGAAATGTAAGATTTGCATCAAATAAAATTACAGTTAATGAAATTGCAATTAGCAAGGTGTGTCTTTAACCTTAAATAGAAAATGTATATACATTTAATATATATAAAAACATAAAAATATATATCATGTAGTCAAATTAACTATAATACCATATTATAAATAATCTATTAAAAAAATAATTTAAAAATGATAAAATTATTACATGAACAATAATAATAACGTAAATAATAATTTTAACAAAAGATAAAATAATGGTTGATGAATAATATTGAAAAACAAAGTTAAAAAAATGAAAAATACAATACTTGGTCATGCATTACCATGATATTACTAATTTCAAATAATAACATGTTCTTTACAAAGGATCCATGTCAAAGGTTAATATCCTTCAAATTTCAACACAAATCAAAAGGTATAGGACGTACTGACAAAAACGGATATATATGAGCAGACAAAAAAACAAAACATTTTCATTTGCAATTATTTTATATAATACCTCAAATTTTCTACAACTTAACATGTTACTCAAACATGAAATAACTCTAGATGAAGATTCAAAAGTGTTATTTAACTAGATGTGGTTAATTTTGTCAGTGATGTAACTTAAAGGATCTCCAGTAGACAAGCATACTTTCAATACAGGAAGAGGACTCCACCCATCAACCTTGATATAAATAAAATTGACCTTGTAAAAAGGTCTGAGGTCTGTTTGTACTGTACATGGAGGAATTGGTTTGTAAGAAAAACAATTTTTTTTGCATTTCTTAGGGCCTGTTTCTACTGGAAGGAAATAATCGATTAAAAATCGCGTTTTCAAAAAATCGCTTTTATTCTCGCAGTAGAAACAGGACCAGTTTGAAAAAAGCGATTTAAAAATATCGATTAAAAACACGCAATGGATAGCGTGTTTGAACGGCAAATAACCGATTTTGGCTGTGCACCTTTTAGCTGCAACACAAAAAAACGATTATCAGGTGAATTGCGACCTCCAGGTCAATCACTGCAAAGACTAGATCGTATTAGGCGCGAACTTTCAAAAACAATTTGTCCTCTTGTTCATGTCCTAGGCCTACAAGCTAAAAACGTCAACAAACATGAGGAGTGACGAATTCGTTTTGTAATTATTTTGTGGGGGGGGGATATTGGGCCTAGGACTCTCCGCTCTTTTGGGCCTACCGTTGTCCTCGTTTGGTCGTCGTTCACAATTGTGCCGATGAGCACAGCCGAAAACATTTGCCTTCTCTCCCCACATCGTATCTTACTTCTCGTCATCATGACAGGAATGAGAAAGATACTCTCCTATACAGGAAAACAACGTGTTGTATAAACAAAATGGTGACGTAATTTCCGTCACGAAAACCGATTTTCGAAAAATCAAAAATGTAGTTGATATGCCAAGTACAATACTGTATCTGCTACTTATGTGAAGGAAATTATTTGTTGGTGTCATTTTTTACTTGTCAAGTGTGTTTCTGGCATGGGACCAAAAAATAAAGTAATCACCATTTTTATTCATGTGTTTTTTTTGTACAATATTGTTGATCTTATCTTTATCATATTAAGTGACATTTTTAATTGAATTCCATTCCAAACATGAATAAAATAACCTTGGTTAGGTCTTCATGTAACAAAGAAATACCACAAAAAACATTCCTTATACAGTAGTAACAAAGACTCTCCTCGGCTACTCTCCATGGAAATATTTATTTACTAACAACTATACCTTTAACCTTTAACCATTATATGACATTATCACAGCTTGTTAGTTATGGCAAGTTTACAAGTATGAACAAAAAGACTCGTGTTTGTAAATAAAAATCACATGATCACCTTATTTTGAATCATAGAGGAAAAATGAATCATATCAGTAGGTAGTTACAATTCTTTTAATTAGACCACAATGATCTGTCATCATTGAGAACAAAGGCAATAGAGTTACAAGTCAACCACAATGGCATGATATTCATGAATGAGATACGATCTAATTCAAAGAATTCCAACTATCAATGAAAATTACCATATTATTCATTGTTACATGTCCATTGTATAACTAGGAGGCAATACAAAACTTTATTGACACATGCTCCATGTATTTTACTAGCATAAAGTTTTAAATCCTGTGGCCTAATACCCATGTCCCCTATTCTCCAAAATCCTAGATCCACTTTGAATTTATAAATCCTGTGTTTAATTACAGTAGAAAAAAATATATTTTGTTCATTTTGTAAAGTATCTTCATGAGTATGACATAACCATAAACGTAATATTTTGACTAAAATATGACTTACCTTACAATGGTAAAGTGCCACAACATTCTCATGAGCAAGTTGCTATAAAAAAAAAAAAAGAGAGAAAACAAATTAATATTTACACAAAAACATAAGACCATGCAATAATGAAAAAATTTGAAACAAAGAAAACAATTGAATTGACATTAGGATAGACCACAAGCCTATCATTCATGATGTTTATATTTTGAAGTTTAATAACACATTTATGAAGCTAAATTACCAAGATAATTATTTTAATGTATTACCTGTAATATACTAATTTCCTTCTCAGGTAATGTTTGAGTTTTTGACAGATTTTTCTTGTGAATGCATTTAATTGCCACTGATTGATGGCTCTGTAAGAAAATATATAACTCAGTTACATAAAAAAATGTATACAATATTACTCATAAGAGTAACGTAAATGAATTGTAAAGAACTTACATCATCATCAACATAATTTAGGTTAATGAGTTATCATTTTTGCTATATTATATTCAGGTAATGGCATGAATTATAAACATTTTTTAGACTAGCTTTTTAATATCAATATAGGCCTAGCTATATCATATGTTCAGCCTATGAATATTGTTGAGATACAAAACCATAATATGTAATTTAATAAACTCATAAAACAATGATGGAAATTAATATTGAAAAACTTCAACTAACTAGGCATGCTGTCAAAGAAAGAGGCACTGCTTTAGAAAGGATAATCTATTTCGTATAGCTTAGTACAATAACAATTAATTATAAGTATTAATATAGGCCTAATTAGTAATTACTAATCATATATTTCATATATAATTATATATATACAGTACTTACAATTGCTTTTATTTGATTGCAGTTTATATATTCAGGTCAGAAATTCCTTTGTTGTACATTGCAATAAGATGTTCATTTGTTTAATCATTTTTAAATATTACATGATTTAACATGCAAAAAGGAGGTTCATGATTCATGGTTAAAAATGACAGAAATCCTTCATTCAATTCCAACACTAAACTGATGAAAATAAATGAGGATTATTAAGAACAAACCTTTCTGTGACGGCCTTTGAAGACAACAGCAAATGCTCCATGTCCAATCAAATCTTTTTTATTGTATTCAAAGTCTCCAACACACTCCATATTGACTATGTTTCAAACAAAACGAAGGACAGACAGCATTGAAGAAGCTTCTAAGCCTTGCCAAGATGTTTTAAGTAGGCTCTGTCAATGACAATAGCCTAGCCTGGCGCGCTTATACGAAGGATAGATTAGGCCTAGCAATCAAAGATCTTTTGGTTTTGATCAAATATAAGTTAGCATTTTCGACATTCACTCAATATCTTGCTAAAACGTACCCAGCTTAATATGCCTTTATTTTATACGCTTTTCACCAGTTTTACCATGCCATCGTATGAATGATTACCACCAAATGATGCAACACTGATGTTCTAGATATGCGACAGAGATGATCATTAATAATATTGCGTTCTCGTATTAAACAAGGGTTGGAACACTGCCATCTTCACTGGTGGCTGCTGAAGAAATAAACACAGAATCACTTTCTCTTTTGTCACAAAAAGCAAAGTCCAAATAACAGCAAATACAATTATATGGTCAATAATTAGCATATAATAAGGTATTGGAAACGATTAAAACGACCATTTATGATATACATTCTTCGATATGTACGTGCACTTCGTTTCAAATACCAGATTGAACAGCAGCTGATTCCTTGCTTGTATTTTCTTATTTTTTGTCTGATGTAAACATTTCCAAATGACCTTTGACATAATATCTAGAGCAGTTTGTTTTGATTGTATGGTGTGATGTATAACGCCAGTAAACATTGTACTCTTGGTCAATAACAAAGTAGTTCTTTCATATATCTTGAATACTTAGATCTTTTTCTCGAATATATATTTAGAAAATAATAATATTATTTATTATGCATTTATTATAATGCAGAATTAAAGACTATTGTTTAAATAAATTGATGTTATTAAGAAACGTACTGTACAGATTGGTGAGCTGATTTATGTTATCGGGGAGGACACGCCTACGAGCTTTAATTTGTTTATATAACAACTTTTTAAATTTAAAAGGGACTTAAAGCATTATAAATCTAAATAATTAATATGTATTATAGTTTATATTATATTTCCAATTCTAAAAAGGATTTTTTTTAAATATATTTGAATATATCTATGAACGTTATTGTATGAGAGCGTGAACATATGTACAAGAGTGGCGTAAAGGAGACGAAATCATTGCACGTGGGTTTTGCAATTTTGTCTCGCTTGTGTGATGAGAAGGTCGAACAGATTGCACCAATTTTCTTTAAAAATAAAGGTAACCTTGTTTATTTCAACCTAGATGGTTAATCGAGATCAGTAATAAAATAATTGAAATACTTATGGTGTTCAATGAATAACGGTAGCAGTTATATAAGGTTTGAAGTCAGTCGCAATAAATTTATAGGATTTTCATTTTAGCCGACGATGAGTCGAGAGAAGGGCTATCAACCACGTTGTTGGTTGTTTGTGTAGGGGGTGGTGCTGCCGTGGAGTGTGTTGCCTGGATTTCGTTTCACAGGCACAGGGAACCAATGCTTGCCTGAAGTAAAGTAGTATATAGTAGGCCTACAGATTGTGAATAAATAAATACTGTATTCATCGCCATTTTATTGGCATCCATCTAGGTAAATATAAATTAGTGAATGTGTTCATTGATTAAACAACAATGGAAATCTAGACAATACAATACAATAATAAATGCAGACAATACTTCACAAACACAACAAAATTTTGTTGTTGCAATCATGAAGAATGGTAGTAGTATACGTATTAGCCTAGGGCCTAATATTAATGAGGATGAGTTTATTATAGCAGGACAGCCGTACTACATTGCTTTATCATAATTTACAAGTTACATTTTCAGTAATCATATTTTACTTGTTTCGCTATACTGTAAGATTGAATAGGCCTAGTGCTTGAAACAATTAGTCTGTTGTTTCCACAGTCGATTGTGCAATTTGTTATTTATGTGATATATTTAATTAAATAAATGAAATAAAAGTATCGTTCATCATATTTTTTTTAAATCAAGCAAAAAAATGTCCATGATCAAGTCATAAAACTGTGACTCACCAAAAAGTGTATTGGGGTCCTTCACAATATCAACAACATTTTCAAAAGTATACAGACAGTATACTTTTACAATGCATGAAATTGTTAATTCAAAATAATATCCAATATTTAGAATAATAATTTTTATGACCAACTAGTAGAACCATACATTTTTATGTAACCATGCAAGTACAGTACTTTTTTTAGCTGCACAGAAAGTGGAGGATAGTTTTTGCAAAATCAGCATTTTTTTATGTACACTTTCAGAGGGGAGGGAGGGGTTACAAAAAAAGAGTACTGTTTATACACTACTACTTCTTCCAAATTTAAGGCCAACTTCATAGCTGAAGGCTTCAGCCTGAGCTTCTGCCGCAGATGGAGTCTCACCGGAAGCGAGGAGACAATAAATAAATAAATAAAATGGAATATATATAAAGTAAAAAGTACCTGTAACCCAAGGCAGCAGGGTGGGGGCCCTTCCTGGTGCTAACCCTCTCGGGCCAGAAGGAACCAGGAACTTGCAAAAATGTTTATATTGTGAACGACCCCTTATAGTACTAAAACGCAGACAATACATGATTTGGTTTTATTGTGCCTTGACCTTTGACTTCATGTGCAGGTAAAATTATATATGTCCACTGAAGTCTAGCATGCTATACCTTAGAAGCCCAATATGTACTTATTAAAGTTTCCAAGTTCCAGCTTACCTTATGTGATGCCAGTTTCTCCGACTAAATGTTTGTACATCATTATTATGCAAATAAACATGAATTTATATAGTGTGGTTTAACTAGATTTTTCATCACTTTTGATGTATTTTGTTATCTTACAGCATATTACAGGCTGTTAGAAAGCAGGCAATACCTATCTGAATTTATTCATAAATCGTTTAGAAGAACAAGTGAAAAATTCATCGGATTGTTATTCAACCATATTTTCTACAGACATCGCCGGCATGGCGCAGTTGCGTTATACGCGTGCAATTGCCTGCGGTGCATTTGTAACGGCTGGCCTAGTAGGTATCTATATTTACAAAAAGCGAGGGCGGTCAAAGAAGAACCTTGACAACCAGAAACAATCTAGTTTATCTGAAACTTGTAGTACTGAACATGAATCCAAATCAACAGTTTTAAATAAAGACTCCAACCTGCTGCCACCGAGTGATTGTATTCAAGATAATAGTAATCAACTAAATACCAAAAACACAAAAGATTCTTCTTTATCTGAAGTTGCACAGGGCTTAGAAGACTTTGAGTTTGATGATGTTTTATTGGTAACGGATGTACCACTAATTGAAAAAACCGAAGTAGTGGATGAGAGTTGTGTAGAGACATGCATAGCACCCGTAAATGAGGTACCTGCCCTAGAATCTGTCGTAAACGAGGTACCTATTGTAGAATCTGTCATTTCCGAAGAACATACAACTTTGGAGCAAAGTGTAACGAATAGTGATTTAGAAATTAAAGACCGTATGTCTGAAGAGCCTACAAGAGAAATTAACAGAGAGAGTGAAAAACAGGGAATGTTAGAATGGTCAAGTGATGTGAATGCTGATGCATCAGAAGGAGGCCTAGAATTGCATTCCGCTGTTAAATTTCAGTCCAAGGACAAAGACCGGTAAGGGTGCATGCAGGAAAATTCTTTTAAAATATGTTTCCATGTATACTTTTGTGTAAAGTTGTATTCACATTTTTTTTGTATGACAATTTTCTGTTCCATATTTTGGAATATTTTAATCTGGTTGTTGTTACTTGGGAATCAGTTTTTGAAAGTATAAAGCAAGTGGATATATTTGCAATATTTTGTGTATTTACACTTACTCTTCATCTGGTAATGAACTAATAGTTTTTTTTTTTCTGGGGAGTGGGGAGCCTAATTGTGTCCACTTGTTTTGTATGGATTGACTATGTATACTCATCTTGCGCTTCAATTTATTTAAAATTGTTTACAAACTTTGAAAGAAAACAGACAATTAGATGATTTAAATTATTGGTGAAGTGGATAGGTCACAACAACTAAACACATTTCTATTAAGCATAAGCAAGACTTTCTTTATTCCTTGTTTCGCATACTTATTTTTTTTTAAAGATTACCGGAGGAGGGTGGAATAAAAATAAAAATAAAATTTTGTTTTCTTATTTAGCAAATAGTTTTGCCAAAATCATGTTGGAGAGAATCCAACATGGATGATCCAAATCCAGATGGAGAGAATGAAAATAGAATTTTATTGGTAAATGTAAAGTAGGATGTTTAAATGCTTCAAATTTATGTAATTATGAAGAAATATACATATCATTGGAGACTTCAAGGCAGCGGAGGCCGTAATAAAAATTTTTTTTAAACTTTTATTTTTTTCTGAAATTTCCACTTTTTCGTTGCGGCGGGTGTTCTAATTTGCCAAAAATAAAATTTTATTTTTATTTGAAATCATCATTGCAGTCGACGAGTTAGCTAAACAAGGTATAAAAATAGTCTCGCCTAAGCTAAAATTGACTATGTTTTGTTCTTGTGTGTTGAAATTGTTTTTTGCGTGCGAAATTGTGTTGTTTTTTTTTGGCATTGTTTTGTTTTAAATTGCACTCTTTCTGCAATGTGATGGAGCACTTGATTTTTTAAAAAAGACATGTCGATCTTTAAGAATATTCATTTAAATCCTTTATATTTTTTGAAATTCCATATTTATGCCTTGTTTTATGTTGCAGTTAATGGTTCATAAACTGAATGGAAATTCATTTGAAAAAAGTTAAGGTATAGTTGATTGATTGATTGGTTGGTTAATTTTGATTGATTTATTGTCTTACCTTTGACAGGTGTCATGTTGAATCAGACCAAGGTTCAGAAGTAAACAGCGAGGGGTCAACAGACAGTGGCCGTGGTTCTACTACCATTTTACCTCCTTGCTCAACCATCTTGGAAACTGAAAATAAACCAACTATATATCAATTTGAATTTCCAATCAGGCGTATTGGCAAGATGATTGGGAAGCAGGTAAAAATATTATACAAGTAAACAAATGAGTTGGTACTGTAGCACTTATACTAAGGCAAGACATCTTATACCTTGTTTTTTGGGCAAAACCATTTTGCTAATTCATCATTAAAATTCCCTCTGTCCCCTCTAGGGGGGTCCAGTTGTCTTAACACCACTCTCCCATGTCACCAACCGTGCTCAGATCAACCACTCTATCATCTTCTTGGACACTCCTTTCTAGAGTATAGTCCACAATTACCGCCTTCGTACCATGCGTGACTGTTGTGGTCGTGACGTGGACGTTGTCACGCAAAAAATTAGCCACACAGTAGCCATGCGTGGAGTTAGCACAAGGTAAGCAACAGAGTAACAAAGTTTATCCTTCATAAACAAGATTTTGTTTATTTGTTATAAACAGTTAAAGTCGTTGCTGGACGTTCACATGGTTCGTATGCGTCCTTAAATTCCTGGAATGTCTACTACAAGTTGCCTAGTAACACGATTGAATTAGAAATGTTCCCACAAGTAGGTTCCCACAATACTCTTGAGAGAATCCGGTCAAGTCTTTGTACGCCGCCAATTCAGGAATGTTATCAAAGACAGAAAGAATGTCATTGCTGAAATTGGCCCACTGGCTGGTTCAGACAAACTTGTGCAAATCAGTGGATGGAGTTGTTCGCCTATGTTTTAGTAAAGGCGGTGCTTTTTAAAAAATTATGTTTGCATTTAATTTTAATTCAGACATTGATAATCATAATCGTTAACTTTGTTGACATCTGCTATGGTGTTATTTGCTTTCTGTCGTGTGTTATAAACAGTACTGAAATATTAAACAATCAGTTGAACATGTCTTGTCGCACATGCTCAGCCCGGTGAATTCGCTTTGGGTAATTCATCACTCTCCAGACGTGCACACATTTTTAGCACGAATGGACATGTTTTGGCCCTATCCAGCGCATGGTAGTTAATTAACAATTAATGTAACCATGGGAACGTGTACTTCTACAGTTATTTTCTTGGTAAATGGTGTTAGAAGTTCTTGAATTTAGGGCAAGATATTTCGTTAATTATGTTTCTGATGTTTACAAAATCATTGAAAAACGATGCTGGTCGGCAGCAGATCAGTGCCGGTAGGATGGTGCCATACGTTAACATTTTGCTGTAAGGTAGATTATTAAAATTGTAGGCCTAACTAAGGCCTAATAATAATAGACGTAAATATTAATAATAATGTTATGCCCAATAGTAATGAATAACAATAATAATACAGTATAGTATAATGATGTGTTGAGAACAGAGCATAACCATTAAATTAATTAATAATATAGTACATCATTTGTTTCTACAACATTTATAAACACCTAAATACTGTATATATGAAATGATGGTAGATCCTACTACAACGAAGTTACCACACGTTGCATGCGTCGGAACGGAATTGTGGGCTGTACTGTAGGTCGTCCTCTCCTCCTTTCGCATGCTCCGCTGCCCGTATAACCAAATCGTCCTCTTTTCTCTGTCTCCATACCACCTCAATCTGCTTTCTCTTATCTTTTCTCTCTTATTAACAACTTTACTTCCTGCCTTATATCTTCATTTCTCATTTTCCCCTGTCTTTTCACTCCTCTAATTGGTCGCAGACATCTCATATCTGCCACTTCTACTTTTTTAAATGATTTTCTTTCACTGCCCACATTTTTTCCCCATAGAGAGCCACAGGTCTCTGAAACAAACCAAAAAAAAACCATTAAGGGATCAAAATTTTATTTTTATTTTTTTCCACCTTCCTCTCATGGTCTAAAGATAAGTTCACTAAACAATGTATAAAATGAATCTCTACTGTGGTTAGATTGGGTTGGAGAAGGGAAGTAGGCCTATGTTTGGAGTCTAGCTCCCTCAACAAAAACAAAGTTGTTCAATTTTAAATTCATCTAGGGTATCTCGGCGATTCATTTGTATTTCCTGTGTTGTTTCTTCTCAAATATCAACTAGGAAATGTAGGAAGTTGAATTACTTTGCTTTTGTTTAGCATTATGTAATCTTGGTAATGTACCGTAAATCCCGATGTACAAGCCGCTCCATTGTATAAGCCGCCTATTTAGCTCTATTTTAATCATAATTTTTATCATATTACACGGTAAATACGGGTGTAAATAACAAACAAGGCACATTGGGAATTTCCAACATTGTACTTTTGAGCAGTGAGCATGTTCTTTGTGCTATTCATATTATTGACACCGCTCTGGCATTTCACCAACTCTGATGCTCAAATCAACCACTCTACCGTCATCGCGGACACAGCTTTCTAGGTCGTCCTCTCTTCCTTTTGCATGCTCCGCTGCCCATATGACCAAATCGTCCTCTTTTCTCTTATGTGTCCATACCACCTCAACCTGCTTTCTCTTATCTTTTCTCTCTTATTAACAACATTACTTCCTGCCTTATATCTTCATTTCTCATTTTCTCTTGTCTTTTCACCTCTCTAATTGGTCGCAGACATCTCATCTCTGCCACTTTTATTTCTTTTACATTCTCTACTTTCACTGCCCACGTTTTGCCCCATAGAGGGACATAGGTCTCTCTAAAACAAATCAAAAAAAAAAATGCAAAACAAATAGAAATTAAGGCATACAAAACTTCATTTTTATGTTTTTTTAACCTTCCTCTTATGGTCTAAAAATAAGTTAATGGTAAAAATGGACAGCAAATTGCATTGGAGAAGGGAAGTAGGCCTATGTTTGGAATATATCTCCCTCAACAAAAACAAAGTTGTTCAATTTTAAATGCATCTAGGGGATCATTGCGATTCATTTGTACTGTTGTTTCTTCCCCAAATATCAACTAGAACATGTATTGAAGTGTAATTAATTGAATTTAGCATTGTAGTATTGGTATTTAAATGAAGTGTACTGTTAAATCCTGATGTACATGCCTCTCCATTGTGTAAGCCGCCAGTATATAAATAGCTCCTATTTTAATCATAAGTTTTATCTTGTTAGTAAATAACAAGTAAAGCACATTGGGAATTTCCCACATTGTGCTTTTGAGCAGTTTAATGTACATAGGGGCAATGTGCAATATGCGCTATATAAATATAACATTTTTATTATTTATTTTATTATTTTTTTTATTTGTATAATATTTTTCTACTGATATTAAATTTATTTTGATTAATTGATATGGACTTGTTTGTTCTTTATCAGGGAAGAAGTATTAAGGCCTTACAAGAGAAAACTGGAGCCAAAGTTGTTTTAGAAAAGATCCCATATAATAGGAATTACCAGAACTGTGTTATTAAAGGTGTGTAGCCCAGAATTTGTACTTCGGTACTTCTTTTATGTCTTTATTCAATTTCCTGGTGTTAATAAAGAAAAATGTATAATAGACTTTGACATTTTAAAGATCATCGTAAAATCTGGAAAAAGCTATAAAATATTTATTATTATTATTATAATATATAAAGGTAAATGGATGGGTAAAAAATAAAGAAGATAATAAAATAAATTGTCGAAGGATTATTTATTGTTCTATTCAATTTAAAGCTACTGTAATTACTGTAATAAATGCCCCGGGGAGTTTATTTTTAGTGTTTTTGAAGGGGTATTTGATTTATTTTGGTTTAAAATAGATACATATACTCAAATAAATGCCCCTTAATTTCACTGTAAATGTGGAAGTACAACACATAATTACCGTCAAAATGTGTTGTTGCGTGATCATAATGACTTATTGATCCCAACCAGGTTAGAAAAAATTAAATTCTCCTTGAGTAGAACATTAATAGAATGTGTTGAGAATTATGTTGCTTACATTAGGTTTGTTTACAGTCATTTAGGGGGCATTTATTTGATGGAAAAATAAACGCCACACCTCTGGTAAGGAATCGCTTTCTGATTTACACATTTACACGCAAGTTTCAGTGATCTCAAATTTTGCCCTGTAGGTCTCCCAAGCGAAGTTGAGGCTGCAATTAAAGAAATTCAAATCCGTTTTCCGGATGTTGATGTGCATCGTGTCGTTGAGTCTCCTCAGCCTGCCGCTCAACAGGAACCGTTAGTGCCATCTGTAAGTGTCTTCTAGCTGAAAACATTAACGTTGTCCTCTCAAGGGTGTGGTTTCATAAGTGTCACAAATTGAGTGGTGTTTGAGTTATTGGATAAAATGCCTTTTTTTTAACAGAGATTAACTATTACTTGGATTGTAGAATGTAAGTGCTTTCATTTCCTTAATTAGTACAAAGTACATTTACCAGTAAAATGTGCTATAGCCTTATTGAAATGTAAATATGGGCATGTTTTTTTTAAATTTTGGGCTGGTCAGGCTTGGACAGCAAAAGGGTGGTTTTCATTTTTGGTGTTATTCAATCGTTATTTTTGTATCCTATTCTTCAGTTGCAGTTGTTTGATGAGATTGTAAATGACGTATATATTTCGAATGTGGTCACTGCATGCCATGTGTTTGTACAACAACCGCTGCATCCCTCGTTCAGGGCGCTACCTCATCTTCAGAACTGCATGTCGTCCTGCTACTCACAAATAGATGCCACGCCACCACTCCCACAACCAGTCGATGGTAAGTAATGTACATGTTGAAAAATTGATTATTTTATTCGGACGCATCATGATACATTATTTGAATACAGACCTCAACACTAAATTGTCTCGGGAATTCAGTGGCATTAACCCTGTAATGTAAGGCTTGCAAATGTAACCTGTATTTATTTCTATAAACAGTTATAAATAATAATAAATATAAGTTTGTTTTGCTTTGCAGTGGGAATAATATGTGTTGCACTTATCAACGAAAGTTGGTGTAGGGCTCAGGTAATCGCTGTACATACGGACACGGACGAGATAGACGTGAAGCTGCTCGATTATGGTGGCTACACTCGACTGGATCAGGCCTGTCTACGTCAGATTCGCAGCGACTTCATGAGCCTCCCATTTCAAGCTGTTGAATGCTACCTTGCTCACATAGCACCAATGGAAGGTAATAATAAATTCAACATTTGATATTAAAATTGTATTAAAAGGGACGGCTCCTGTAGAACATCTTGAACTTCTTAACAATCAGGAGTGACTTGTTGGATTGGATTTGGTTTATTTGGTGTAAACACAAGGATAGCCCACAAAAGTCTAGAAGAAGACTTGCTTCCAGTGGGGTCCTTCTGGTGGTGATTGGGCAGTACACTGGAAAAAAATCATAATTGTATTATAAACTTTGTACAAAATGTCATATTTTTAAAGAAAAATATACAATTTTGTGAAAATATTTGGTAAAACTTTCAACAAATCAGAAAGCTGAATTATGTATGGAGACACTTAGTGACCATAGTAAGTTGTAGGCCTTCACAAATAGTCAAATTATATGATTTTAAGGTTACCAACTTCTAGAATTCATAACTTGTGCATGTCTTATTGGTGTAGTAAACGGTTTTAAATATTGACAAATTTCTACCACGATCAAGAAATTTTAGACATGTAACGTCATAACCCTATCAACAACAATAATTGTAATTCTTATTGTTTCAAAAATACTAAATCTGAGGATTTTTATAATGTCAAAATCTTTATTTGTTTAGTTGGATACCCCATTACTTGAGCACCTGTGAGTAATGAATGTGCTTCAAATTGCCTGTAAATGGTGCGGTGATATGTGTGGTGTTTCTTTTCTGAAAGCTTTTAGGTTTACTGTAGGTTTTGGTTCTTCTTTCTTTGGTGCAATGAGCACTATTCCAGTAAATATGTGTGCTTTGTAAATCTTATTATATTATTTATTATTATTTGTCAAGTAATGAAAGCACACCCCTCTATTTTTTTGTGAATTAGGTAGCTAGACCCATTCTTCCCTACCTCAACTCTTAACTCTCTGGTTATAGTCTTTGTCAAACATATAGTAGGATGCCTAAGTAAAACCTAATAACATTGAACGTAAAAACATATGAAACCAGGATAACCCATAAAGTCGAAAAGAAACAATGTTGTATTTCCAGTGGGTCCAATACTAAAAAAAAACTTTAAAAAATTTAAATGCATAGCAATATCAAACTCATGATATTGTAACTCAAACCAACAAATGTTTGTTGGCTGTTAACTTATATTGACCCCGGTGGCCTAAGACTAGTATTTCTTATGAAGTCTTATGTGTGGCTTAAGTCAATCATTTTCTTAACTACAGCTAATCTGGTTACCTTTATACATAGCTTGTTTTTTTTTTACTTGTTAAAAAGATCAACAAAATATAAATACTTTTATTGTTGAATTTTAACAGATAATCATCACAGAGGGATGTTCTGGCAGTTTTTAAATTCAGTACTTAAATTTTAACAATTTCAGCACATATGCCAATGACATCTCGGTTAATGTCGGTTTAAGGCTTGTGGCACAGCGGCGCCAATGAGTCATGCTCCTGACCAAATCCAACAACATTCACATTGCCTGTGTCCGTGTCTCAGCTGCACTGGGGAAAATAGATCAGAATCTGGTGGGATGTAAATGTTTTTCTAATGATATTGATTAGTTACAATTTTTTTTTTAAATGCCATTTCATTATTTCACTGAGTTTCAATTACGCTGAATTTTTATAATCAACTTGTTAATTATCCCTTCTCTGTTTTTCAACTTCAGGAGAGGAGGGTTTCTCTGATACTGCGTCTAAATTCTTAGATGAGCTAGCCCAGAGCTATTCATTCCTGGAAGCGGAAATAGTGGCGTACTCTGAAGATGGCTTGCCAATGCTGGAACTGTTTTTCACAGAACAAGGCCAGGTATGCAGTTGGTTAGGTGTATTGTCAGTAAGACCATTTCACATCCGTCTGTTACAGTTTCTGTTTTGGATCCATTCCTGGTTCTGTATTCAGATTTATCTGGTACCTTGATGCCAATTTGTTTTTGTCTTCATCAGATTAGAAAACAGAAAATTTTTGCCCAATCGGATTCACATATCGAATCATGTCCTTTATTAGATGGACAAGTAATGAAAATTTTGTGTTAATTGTTTTAGGCCCAAGACCAAGAATATGCCAAATAGCAAACTTATTCTCTATTCAAAGTGGCATATTCCTTCACACGACAAACATACATAAGATGCTTTATATAAACCAAGTCTTATTATTAGGCTTAGGGAGTGGAGTTTTTTTTTTGGTCGTGAGGAAAGATTCTGTTACCGTGACAAGAATTGAACCCAGGACCCTGGGCTTAAAAGGCAAGCATCTTAACCATCTTGTGTTTAAGGTGTTCGTTTTTCAAAGCCAGGGCGCAGCGTTGGATTCTTGTAAATGACATGGATATCTTCTAGCTGTAACTAACTTTTTTAAATGTTCTTTAGTTTACATATAATTATTTACCATTTGATGTGAGTGAAAGTTTGCTTTCTACCAATATCATAATGATAGTAACTAATTTTGTAAATAATTTTTTTTTTTCAATAATCAAATCTTGCAAACATATTTTTAAGAGAAATTTTTGTATTTTCAGAGAAAGATGATAAACAAAGAGCTTGTGGAACGTGGCTTAGTATCTTGGTTTGAAATCAAGTAGCTTACCTCCGCATGGAAACCAACAGATTACCTGGTAGGATCATCTCAAAACCTTCCAATTTCTTGATTTGAAATTTTCTTATAATCTTGCCAGGATCATAGATTATCATAGATTATCTCCAGGTTGAGATATCTGAAATTGCATTGCATCCTGCTTCGTTTGCCTTTTATCTCAAACCAGCCGCATCTACCAATCTTATGGCTATCAAGTGGAAAATTTGTTGTTTGCTGCAAATAGAGCTGGAGAAACAAGTCATTGCTTTTGTTTCATCTAAGACAAAAGCATTGACCTAAGCCAGCAGTTGTGAGAGGTGACCGAAGCCATCAGTTGTGAGAGTTGACCGAAGCCATCTTCCGCAAAAGTTGACCAAAGCCATTAGATGTGAGAGTTGACCGAAGCCATTAGTAGTGGGAGTTGACCGAAGCCATCTGTTGCAAGAGTCGACCAAAGCCATTTGTCGCAAGTGTTGACTGAAGCCATCTGTCACAAAGTCGACTGAAGCCATCTGTGGCAGGAGTTGACTGAAGCAGTTAGTTGCGAGAGTTGACCGGACGCCTCAGTCTCGAGTTGGCCGGAGCCATTAGCCTCAAGTTGGCCTAAGCCTACAAGTGCAAAAGATTGTTAGGTCTTCGGTTGCTTGATTTAGCCTAGTTTTTACAATGGTTGATCTAGGCCTGCATATGAGTATCAACAAATGCCAGTGCAGTCTTAATGATTGTACACCTCAATAGAGTTAATGTACAGTAGGTCTGCAATATGCGAAACAACCTACAAGAAATGTTATGAGTTTTATCTTAGTTTGCCACAAATGAGAAGAAATATTTATATTATTACAGATGAATTCCATTTGAGTTATTAATATCATTTATTTGGATCTGGTCTGCCTCTAGGGTTAAAATTTGTATTTGCCCGTTAATAGCATTTAATGCTTGTTTGGGGCCGTATAGATCTAAGTGGTTAATTGGCATTTAATGCTAGTTTAGAACTAGTAGGCCCAAGAACAACATGGATAAAAGCTGAAAGAAAATATATATAACTTTATAAACATGAGGTACTTCTTTTTATCATGGAAACTAAGATTGTTTTAGAATTACGAGAAGAACTGGTTTTTAAATGTGTAATCATGTACGTAAGTAGGTAGTTACAACATTCGCTCTAAATATAAATTCTTATAATGAAATAAATAGGTGAACAAATAGATGTGTTCTAATAATTGAGGAAGTCCAGTATGTTTTAAATGTCCCAGAAAATGCCTTTAAGAAGGAGAAACTAATTGCATGTTTTTAACTTTGTAAAGATAAAGAACAAGTTGTTGTGTTTATTGTCCAAACAAGTCGTAGAATAATTTTCGATTTCAGATATACCAATAAGAATTTAATATTTCTTTTTAAGGTTTACGTTACAGCAAGTGTTAAGAACTGACTGCAATATTCTGAGCTTTATAAAAGGATTTTATAATGAAGAAAACCTGATTAAATCTAGTGTACATTCTGAGTAATAATGTGAAGAACATTAGATGCCTTTGCATACTAGACAAATCTATTATTAGTTGTAGTTAGTAATAATTATTAAACATGAATTTATTTTAATTGTATATATTCTGCTCTTTGATATTTTATGTGAAAATTAGAAGGAGAACCATCAACATTAGTCTTCTGGATTTTTTTTTTCTTTTTCAAAAATCTCCTAGTATTTTACCATGTTTGTTTGCCTCGCAAGAAATGCATACTTAAAATTGGGTTTTCCCCATTCAATTCATATTGTAATATTTTCCTTCAACAGGAAATCACGTTTCTCTGTATTAATTTATATTGCTATTAATTATTTAAAAAGGACTTGCTTATTTATAATTAATTTCTTCCACAATTTTTTTATTTGTTCACTAACCCGTTATTCCTATTAGTTTTCCATCATTACTTTGCATCCAATAATTTGTTATATCCTGGAAGTGTAGATAAGGTTTTTTTTGGAATCTCACCACATATATTTCTCATCCAGAAATACTTGTCAGTTGAAAAAGAAAAGGGGGTCTGATAAATCATGAATGACCAGTTGAACAGTAAAGCCCCTTGTGTATGTTATTCAAGTGCAAACAGTGATATTATTGAGCCTGTTTACAATTGAACATGGCTTAAATCTTATTAATCTAAGAACTGGAGCCTGTTTCAATCTAGGGCCCTAAGATTTGTATAAAGCAAATCATTTTAGTAGAATTTTCTAGTTATCAAAAAATTTTTTTAATTAATGGGATGAAGATAAGGCAATTATTTTAGCTGTCTTGTATGGATAGGTGTCGGCTAACTCGTACCCACTATGGCAAACTTGTACCCAAAATTAGGTCAACTTGCGCAGAACTCCTAAACCACGTCTCTTTTCCTACCTACTCTGGTTTAATAATAAACAAAATCTAATTTTTGAAACTGCACTAAACTTACAGTAAGTGCTTATCTATGCCTCTAACACTACTATTGTAATAGCGCCCCCTTGTTATATAGTTTCCTTCCTGCATATTAAAATCTTATGAACAAGTTTGTCTTTAATGATATAGTTTAACATGATTACAATCAAAGTAGATAATGCTGTTTGCATAATATTTGAAATACAAAGGTAGATCTTACACCAAACACCTGAGCCAGCCAAAGTTATGGATACGAGTCAGCCAAAATTTGTGTACGAGTTGGCATGGGTATGAGTTAACCAGTATTCTGTGTATATAGCAAATGTTTGCCCTATTCATGAATTGTTACATATCACTACTTAAAGAAACCCCACGAGAGTGTGTACATGCATATTTTGCTACTGCAGAGATTTATCAGAGATCTTAATCACAGGATTAAATTCTAGTTACCATGCTATTTGCTATCTTGAAGAAATTAATATTGAGACACCAAATTTATAGTTTCCATATTAATGTAAAATTGTAATTTTTGGTATTAGATAAGTGAACATTGTGGCCGAAACCTGTCTTTAAAAAATTAACCATATCATTTAAAATTGCCTTTCAGACTTTCTATAACTGTGTCTAGTTTTCTAAAGATTGACTTGAGGGATTTAAGCCAAAAAAATTGTCTGCATTTTAACTTTTATTATTTTATATAATTTTTATATTACAACTCAACCTGCCTTTAAAGAATAACATGCAGTATGTACAGTAGATGTCAATTTCTGAGACTTGGAGAAAAACAAAATAAATGTTTCCATCTGACCATCCCAATTTTTTTTTGCAAAAATAATTAATACTTTTTTAGGCCTTTTCTCAAATTACTTGCAATCATCATGTATCATGAGGGAAGTGTGGTAAATTATCGCCTAACCTGGCAATGCCTATTACATCTGATTTCTTTTGACCATGAGCTTATTAAATGCTTCTATAAACTACAATTTTATTTCATGAAAATTTACAAACAAAAATGAAAAATTATAGCCATTGAAAATTTACAATTTTTATGAAATTTCATGTTCTTATTGTTCTTATATAGCATTAAACTGTCAATTTGACAATGTTGGAATAAGGTGCACAAAACGAACATTTGAGTAGATATAGAAAATTTATTTTTTCTGCGAAGTGAGTCTCAAGAACAACAATACACCACAACATCAGTAAAATTAATGTTGAAATAACGAATATAATTTCAGTCTAATGTTAGTGCAAAATATCATTTTTGTAATCACCGGATGACACACGATTATAATAGAAAACGCGCATGGATAATTTGTCACACGCTGACGATAAATTATGGTTTGGTTGCTATGGTTTTTGTGACGATCAGAGTGTAGGGGCTCGCTGCGAGTAGAATGTCGATGCCAGAGTTATATCCTTTGATGTCCTGAAAAGTGTGTCCTTTTGTTGGATTGCCTTGGTTAAATTCACACAGCCAACAAATTGAGCATTGCAAACATGTTTACATGTTAATGTATTAAAGACTCGGCCTATGCCATCTATGCAAGAGCAAAACTTAATCAATGTTTGTGACAAGAAATACTATTATTACATTAATTTTGTCACAGCTTTTTGGGAAATGATTTATTACCACTGTGAATTTTAGACTGCTCCACTTGACTCAAACAATTGTTGCCAAACACCTTACAAATTTTTGCAAAGCAAGAAAAAAAAAAGAACTATGCAACTGCAATGTATCAAGTCACATGACCATTATTAGTCATGTGACTTGTCTACTGTAGCTGAATCTATGATTTATAATGGTTATCATGCCCTGGGTAGCATTATTTAAATCTGTTCTTGTTTATTGATTATACCAAAGAGTATAGAACTGCAAGTGGTCCAACTCTTGAGGTTTAATTGGAACACAATCAATCCTATCTCAAAAAGTACTACCTCGGACTAGAGGGCATCCTTCAAAAAACGTATAAGGCATTGGTATCGAACTTATGCTACGTCAATAGAACCATAGAGATGACTCCATAATAGAACGCTTGGTTTCAAACTCTGTTCAAATTCTAATAGGGTGCGCCCCCCCCCCCCAAATCTCATTTTATTGTGTGCATACAATATCAGGGCAGTCAGACCTCTCTTGCAATTCTATACTCTTTAATTATACATATGTGGAGGATTTTAGTAACTGGCCCCAATATGTTTCCCTTGATAATAGGGAAGATGGGATTTTTATTGTTTCAAATACTGTAATATAAAATTCTGTTTCATCATTCTGTAAATTCTAGTGAAATTATTATCTTGTAGAAGTGAACTTGGCTCATGACAACTGGTTGTCTGTCAAAAAAAATTGTTATATTTAATTTGTTTCCCCAGATATATGAAGATTATAAAGATAGTCTTTGAGAAAAGGTTTTGGTCTGTACTTTTCCATGAAGTACTTAGTTGATAAGGCATCTTTTTTTAAAAAGAAAAAATAAAGATGACAATGATAAAATTAACTGCTGTTGTCGTATTTTGTAAAGTACAATTACAAGAATGATAAAAGTGCTCACTTTGAAAGCCTGATTGTTAACTTTTCTCAGATTATTCCACAAAATATCCATCTGGTTTGTGGAAAGTGCACCACCAGGCTGCGATTAGCTGGGGCATGCTCACCAATATTGTGCCTATTTGTCTTTTTCGAATGAAAAGCCAAGGAAATTTTAGATATAGATGAGATATTCAAATATACACTTTGGTATTGCCAGGGGGTGAAACACCTATGAGATTGCACTGGCTGGAGCCAAGTGCCTGGCCAGGATATTAATTGGCATTTTTTTTTCAGGGTCATGGGCCCCAAATTGGCTGAGCAAGGCCTTAAATGAGCATAAAGTATAAAAAAAAAATCAACATACACCCTTAAAACTTGTTTTTTCGCAAATAATTTCGTCTGCTTCACGGCCCTCTCGGAGTGTTGTGCGGTCCAAGATTTTACTTCATTTCATTGTTGGTGGATAGTTTTATCATCATTCATAATAGCTTCGTTTGACTGCAGTTAAGCTGCCTTCAAATAATTATAACAGCTCTTTTGGAAAAAAATAATTTGGGAAATGGTTGCATTCAAGTTAGTATGTAGTTGATATTAGATGAAACAAACCGAGACTAAACAAAACACAGTACAGTAGTTATAATTTCCCTTTATTCGAAAACTTACATGTTGCAATACTCTAAACATTCATATCAGGTTATAATATTTGTTGTTGTTATGATTGCTTAATCAAAAGTTTATGAATAATTACGTCTCTTGGACCTACTGAACCAAACAAAACATTCATTGTTCTTTACAGTTTCCTTCCTTCGGTGAATAATGTTTACAATATATTATATCCCACTTATAATGTTCATTGTATTTGCCTGTTTATGAAATTATATTTCCTGTTTAAATCAATAAATTGGCTCTAATTCACAATCTGAATAATTCCATGTTTACTATTGCCATTGCATCTAGAATATGCTATGTTACGTAATACAAGGCAACTCTATTAGTGGTAACATCTAGATTATAATATTTAATACATTAAATTACAAGTCTGCCAGCAGTATTCTGTGTATAATTCCCTTTTTCAAGGGGACGGTTTTTATTTACATATACATTTTAACTGATTGAATTTTACTTATCGTATAACGTATGCATTGCATACATGGATTTTCACACACGTTTCAAAATTTAAACAATATCGTTCACAATAGTAAACTTAAGATACAACACAAATTCCTTGCAAGTTATAAAAATAATATATTTGTCTATTTCGTGAATACTTACCTGGATGAACCAATATTAGCCAGATTCCTAACATAACTTACCCGCGAAAAATAATGGAATTGTCTAACCCATCAATGCTATATAAAAACAAGCCTGAAATTCCTTTTGTCGCGAGCGAGTATTGTGAAAGACATTTTGAGGCTTGTTGCATAGTATTTGCATTATAGATGCCTATGTTAGATAATTCCAATATTTTACGTGGGTATAAGTCCCATTAGAAATCTAGCTTATATCAGTTCATCCAGGTATCTCACTCATAGACCAACAACATCATTTCTGATTTGTGTGATTTCCTGATCAAAATACAGAGGGGATCAGATGAAGGAGAAGCAAGTTTCTATCACCAAATGGTTTCATCTGCCCAAAAAATGGAAATGATGAAGATATATTAAACATATAAATTCTATTTTGTAACACTTTCTAGTAATTTCATACTTCTGTATGTTCATTTTTTTTACATACAATTGGCTTTACATTATTCATGAGTTACCAGTGTTCTCCCAGCAAGGAAGTTATTTCTGGTGTTGATAAATTGGCTTTTGTAATAAGATTGGGAATAGTTTCTCTCCCACTTTCAGCTGCAGGGCAGAAACTGGCAAAATCCCCCAGTTACCACCTAAAGAGTGAGATTGAAGACTGTATATTCAGTTTTTTTTATAATAGGGCTAGAAATATTAACCTTTCCAGCTCAATATCAGCATTTAAACGATTGCAATTTAGTTGTTTCAGTACAATAAATATGATGAATATGATAAATATAATTAGTCAATATTTTAAATGACTAAAATTGAATGTTTTTCGCATAAAATGTGCGTTCATTTAAACAATTCTGACTCTGGTCAGGGCCTTGTATTCTGGCAAATGTTCCCGGCAAATCCAGCATTGGGAGGACCTGCCAAGTTTCCCGCATTCAGTGTGAAAATCACACTAAATATAATTCCACCAGCATTTGTAAAATATACTTTATTAAAAGTTGTGCATTCTTCACTGCATAGGCTCATGCAAAGGAAGCAACTGGAATATTCTTTGTATTTCACAAACTAAATTGTACTCAAGTGAAATAGATTGCCTAAAGCTTTGTCTACTCTATCAAATTTTCTTTGAAAGAAAATTGCTGTATGGCCACATAATAGTAAAGATGTGCCTATATATGGTCATGACATGATATTTAGGCACGTCACATGTTTAGGCTTGTCGCGCATCTAGCAAATTTGATAGTCTGGACTTGACTTTAAAATGGTCATTTGTTCATTGCTCTAATGTCCCCTACCACCTATTCAGTGTTCAAATATGCATTTACAGCCATCTAGGGGCTAACATGTTTTTTAAACTTTTTCTGTCCTAATGTCGCACATTATTTTTACATAACCTTGGTAGGTCTGCTCTGGGTATGCATGACATATGGTACCATGTAAAACACCATGAATACTATTGTTACGTGACCGTGCATAAGCATATATATTTATAACATTTTAAACTTAGGAATGGTGACCATGCCCCTGTGTCTGTCTACCCCCTTTGTAATCTAAAAGCCATCTACATCAATAAACATCTATCTCAACACTAAATCAATAAATTTTGGCAGCCTTTTTTTTTACATAACCTTGGTAGGTCTGCTCTGGGTATGCATGACATATGGTACCATGTAAAACACCATGTATGTATACTATTGTTACTGACCGTGCATAAGTGCACATATATTTTAAACCTAGGAATGGTGACCATGCCCCTGTGTCTGTCTACACCCTTTATAATCTAAAAGCCATCTACATCAATAAACATCTATCTCAACACTAAATGAATAAATTTTGGCAGCTTGTCTAATACTTTATTTTTTAAATGTATTTATTACCCAGTATACATATTTTGGCAGTTTTTAATAGTGGTATACAATATAACGAAATCATTCACAGAATTGAAAAAAAAAATTATTTTATTCAATATGAGTAAACTTATACCTGTTCCAATGAATTGGCTCAGATTATTAAACAGTTTGCTGTATAGGGCTGGGACTAAGCTTTCCAATATGGGGTGTGGCCATCTTTGATGAAGACCAGGCTGGACTACAGGGAAGCAGGGGGGCTCATGAGTGAAATCCCCTGGTGCCTCAAAAGTTTGCAAATCTTGGACCATTTTAAGCTGTTCTGAAGCATTTTACCGTTTATTAAAAAAACAATTCTATTTCGTTCTGAAATTCATGGTTAACAGGGAGGCTTGTCCTGTCTAACAGGGATATCTGTGGCTGCTGCTGGCACCGCCATAAGCATTGGTGTGTGCACCTATGTTTTATATCAATTTTAATTTACAAACATATGTGAGGTCTCCCACAAAATGAGTCTCATGGTTAGAAAATAAAAAATTGAGTTTATATTGTATTTGGGTAGATAACATTACAGTATAAGCTTTAATTTGGTTTTTGAATGGCTTCCCTAGGATAAGTACATCCACAGATGTGAGCATTTAAAGTTTAGGTGTATGAGAACCAGTTTTGAGAAAATCGGCCTCAAAGATAAAGTTGTACAAACCTCTAAGTAGGCAGAATATGTGCAGAAAACATTGTTTTAGTAAGAAAATTCACTTAAAGAGTATATAGTCATAAAATATAAGTATCAATTTATTCAAAAACATTAAAATCTAAATTTTGTAAAAATTTAGCCTTTGACCTATTTTGGTGAATATCTCAGTGATTTGACCAATGCTGCATCTCTTGTGGTGAGACCTCTACATTATTTTTTTTATATCAAGAATTGTCTTCCCAAACCTCCATTTTGTAAGATAAACTTGTCAAGCAAGTAACATTTTTCAATAAATTATATGACAGTAGTTCTATTTTACAACCAATATTTTAATTTATAAAATTATTTCTTGAAAACAATACCATTATCAGCTGCTGTCTAATTAATAATAATTAATATTAATTTTTAATAATTACTTCATTCACATTTTTCTAATTCTTGCTGTTGCTTGCAAACCTTCATTATGACATTGGCGGCGTCCAACCGATCATTCTTCAACAAAATCTCTGCCAACCAATCCATCGTCTTGTCCTGTTGCACCAAGCTTTGCAGGAGATGCGTAGTTGGGCTTGGTTGGTTTTTTAAGAGTGGGATGGTGGCGTCCAAATCAAGCGCACTTGCAACAATACGCCAATCTTTACCTAGAAGAGATGGAGGGTCGAGAAGCATGACCAAGTCCATCTGTAACTGGTGCGGGATAACTTCAAATGTACACGGGCTTGCAATGTTGATGTTATCCATGGAGCTGGAATTAATGTAAATGTTTGTGGTAGAGTGTTCAGAGTCCTTCCGGTAATGTTTATTGACTTTGGGACTGTTTCCTTGGGAACAGTAACCATGATCATTCTCTATGTTCAATACGGGATTTGTTTTTAGACCAATGTGATTACAAGGTTTCAGTGCTGAGTCATTATTAACACTTGGTGGCGGAAGAGAATGCAAGATTTTGAAATTGAGAAAGTCATCCTCGCGTCCTTTTTGAAAAGTCTTCAAGCAAAAACTAATGTCTTGCACGCTTATATTTTCATGCTTGAAAATAAACGACAAATGTGGGCATTTCCCATGCCATATGCTTAGATATGAAATGCGTTCTGTCTGATCATTCGAGCATGACCACCCTTCACTTTTATAATCCAAACGAATAAGCATATCTTGCTCGTTGCCATGGAACAAAAACACTTGCTCAGGACAAATTTGGTAGAAGTTTTGTTTTGCTTCATTTTGCTTTGCAAACTGTAGTGCGCAAGGTGTATTGTTGAGGAAGTATAAACGTACCTGGAAATGACATCCGACCCTCATTGGTCCAGCGAATGCCACAATCTGTAACCATTTTCTTGTATCATGACCTTCAGCTATGCTTGTATAAAGCGTGAAATGCGTTATGTGTATTTGGCATTCGGTTGGAGTAAGAATGTATGGCTTCTCTCCATTCTCGCGTTCGCTTATTTTCATCCATGCTTTGTCATACATTAAATTTGTTTCACTTGAGAAGACCTCAATATCATTCCTATCATATGCACAGTGTTTAAACTTCAACACTGCCGGTTTGTTAAGTATGAGTCCGTGTGGACCACAGTGAACAACAGGGCTGATGATTGTTTGCAAGTCTGTCATTAACGGAAAATCTGTCAGATCCCAATCCAGAATTAAGAAAATTCTCTCTTCAACGCCCTCTGGGATGGCACCTGGTGGTATGAAGAGTGATATTCCCATCTGGTCGAGCTCCAATAGGCCTCCCTGAGATCCGATCATACGGCAAATGTACACAACAAGTTTTGACTCAATCGTAATTGTCTTGCTAATGCTCATGTCATGTTCAAACTCATCAAGTTGAAAATCGTGACGGCGTGGTGGTGTGGAGAATACAAAATTGCTGTCTGATGCTATGACAGGACTACCTATTTCAACATCTTCAATGTAAACTGGGTTATCAACAACTGCATTTGTATAAGGAACTACCATGTTTGATGTCAGAATAGGGCCTTGATGCAAATGTCCACTAATTGTGCTGATGCCTGCAGATTGCTGCTCAACAATTCTAGATTCAACATCCTCTGTCTGTCTGATTTTAACACATCTTACAGTCAACTTCCGATGGCATAAAATTCTGCACAAGAATTTTATGAGGAGAAAGAGGACGAGGCTGAGAAAGATTACACCAACTGCCAACACAGCATCACTAATGCCATCCCCTGATTTGTTGCATTTTGCTTTGGAATTATTTGAATGATGCATTGTTTCGTTTGTTCAATATTGCAATTCAACCAACAGAATATTCACACCAACATACAGTTGACAAAACCATTGAATATGCGCAATTAGATACAGCAAAAATGTAGTCTGCATAGGCCAGCTATGCAGTTAGTCTGCTATAATTCTTTGAAGGCCCAGCGTTTGTTCTCTTGTCGATATAGTTCTTGAAGGCCTAGTCTTGCTCTTGAGTTGTTTTATGCTTTCAGGTCAGTGAGGCAGCAAAACTGACCAGCAGTCCGCCATTTACCTCACTAAAGCTCTACCAGAGAGCACCGTTGTGAAGTCGCCCTTTCGTTAAGTGAGTGTTTTCCTGGTTGATCTTGTTTACTATGGTACTTGCCATGACGTCAATGGTTCTTTAGAAATTAGACAATTATAGGTGGTTCTGCAAAGAAAAAAATTGATAATAGAAAAGGGTAATTACCCTGAAAAGTCCTAAAGATTGAAGAGTACCTGGGAATTTATGAACAACCTTGTGGTTAGGACAGTACACAAGTTTCTGGTTTTTCCTGTACATTTACAACAATTTTGAATAATTTTGATCTAGAACTTGTCTATGTTTGTTAACAAATTAAAAACACATTTTAGTTTTCTGTGAATGTAATGTGTGTGCTCAATTTTCATATATCCAGGTGTTTTTGCCAAGGCCATGTAAAGTAACAAAATATAAGGAAAATTTTAAAAAGTAAAACGAAAAAATGAAAACATTTAAACAAAAGGCAAATTGATAATAAAGAAAAGGGGAGATAATAATAATAAAAATCAATAGGATAATATGAGGATATTAAAAAGCAATAATAATAACACACAAAAATTATCCTCTTTGATTAAGTTTTTTCAGGGATAAAGACAAAAGGTCAAAACTTATGAACGTAAAATTTTAAAACGATGTATATTAGGAGCACATTTCAATAGCAAGATTATTCCATAAAATGAAAGACTATTTAACTTGTATTCAGTTTTAGCTAAAAGAAACATCAAAATCAATACCATCATTAGCATTAGCATTGATGAGTGTTATCATTGCTTTAAAGATGTATTGCCACTGGAAGTCAGTAACATTTTGAATTGCTTAATTTAATGAACCACACAAGTTTAACTTTAATATAGTCGATATATATATAAAAAAATAAGGAATTTTAATGATTTACTCATGGTTTTCCTATAAATATGCTACTATACGAAGTTTTCTTTCCTCTTCTTATTTTCAGTTGAAAGCTATGAAATAAGTAATTATATGTTTAATATATTTTCAGTTGATTATAGCCTTGTGTTACTTTATTTGGGGAAATAAGATAAAATGTTTTTTTTCTCCTTTGCATATTTTGAGTTTGAGAATTGTCATTATATATTTATGATTTATATTGAATAGCTTGAAATAAAGGTTACTGTATTGTATAATTAGTTGGCAGAATTCATTTTAATCTGAGGCATCATCATTTGTCATTTAAATTTTAACAGCCCAAAATAGATTCTTGTCATTTGATTGGTGCCATGTGACATTGGGTATTTATGCCATAAAATAATTTTGTTTTTTAATTTTGTCACTTTTCATGTTGATTTAGCTCTATTTCAATACATTTTTGTCCCCTCCACTTTGTTCCATTGTACAACTGACAGACACTTTTTTAGCAAGTCAAATCCTGCCTATGAAATGATGTGACAGTGCTTGGAAAGGTTTACTTCCATCCAGGGATGGCTGGTTCAGCCTAAATCCCAAAGTACGGAACTAAATCCCTATTCAAATGAAAACTTAATGGTCATTCACCCATCTCCCACCCCTTCCAGCCTATGCCCATTCATTCTGTATTGATATTCACACTACAGTAGATATTTTGCTGCGAATCTGCAGTGGAGTGACCTTTGCCATATTTCCCAGGTCAACTGAAGTGGGCTTATTTGTTTAACCCCATAAATTAGAAGATTTTGAAATGTATAACAATGCACGCCCTGAAAGGTTGTGATTTGGACATCCTGTTCGAAGGTTTAATCCACATATATACAGCATAGATTAACCCCCCAATATTAAAATAGCTATAATATATACATTCCAAAAGTCCTGGCTTGGCAGGGTTTTTCCACTCTATATTTTGTCCCATTGTCCTGCACAGCGTATATATTGTTCAACTTTTGAACATGTGTTTGACTAATTAAAATAAGCTCAATGTTCTAAAAAGGTCAACTCTCTACCATTATATACAGTATGCAATGTGAGAACTCCATAAACTTGTATGTGATTATAACAATTATATAAAAGTTGATTTGTCCTAATTGTCCAACTCCAGCTTATATCAGTGGCCAATGCCTTGTATCTATATCTGCCAAAATCTGATAAGAAAGATTACAGCCAGTCTGTCTGTCCATGTGTATTGATAATCTGTTGAAAGTCCAAAAGTGAGCAGAATAAAAAATGCAATTTTCAGTTTCATTCTTATAGCAAAATGATAGGTTTTTAAGTTTTAATTGTTGCTAAAATTACATTTTACTGCTCTTTTTCTCTGAGGTAGACATATACATTTCTTCACAATATTATACAGCTAATTTTTATTTTGACTTTTTACGTATATTAATTATTTTAACTACAGTCATTTTTTTCTCATGTCAAGTTGTTTCGTCTTGTCATTTCTCATGTAATTTTACCCATTATATATTTTTAACCCAGTAGCTTTTGGAAAGGATCAAGACAAATTTCCTATTATAAAAATGCGACAATAATGAATGTCTGCAATTCTGAGGGTTTGTTTGTATTTGTATCGATCATTCAATAACTTAACTTAGCAAATACACCTACATAACAGAGTAAATTTACACACTGAATACGAGTTTGATAAAACTTTTGTACTCTATATTGTATTTTTGTACTCTATATTGTATTTTTGTAATGATAGTATTCATTAATAATAATATGTGGCAAAGACAAGCCAAACCAGTCACTCGTCGCAAGTCCTGTTTTGGAGAAAATGGTGGGCAAAACATGCTGGAATGTCAAAATTTTGGAAATCAATTTTATTGCACTAAACTAACCTTTATATATCTATACATCATGCTATGCTGTTATTTTTCTCATTTTCAATGTTAAAACAACAATTTTTAACGATTTGGTGATGGTTTCTGCCTAAGAAATACTTGATTTCGTAAACTTTCTCAAATATTGACATTTAAACTGCTGTTTGAACTCCTGTAACTTCATAATAAAATTTTGGATTTAAATTATTCTTTTACCATTTTATAACTCTTGTTTTACTGTTAAACACTCTTTTAATAAACAAAAATTGATTTTTGTGATGAGTGACTGGTTTGGCTTGTGATGCGGGTGTATTGAGTTTAGGTAATAATTACTCAAACTTTTGTGGACTCTTCTAATGTAGACAAAGAGTGACATTTATAAAGCTTAACTTGTTTGTTCAGTGAGGGATCATTCCATTTAGGAGGGCCTCTTTAATTTGTAGTTGAAATCTACTGTTAGCCTGATCTATGGTTTTAAAAGCAATCTTTGTTGCTATTGGAATTGCAATTTGTGTTCTTTTTTATATGTTTATACATGTTTAGAGAGAGAAGCTTAGCTCATCGGTTAATCTGGTGGTAGCCACTGTGTGTGCGCTGAACCATGGAGATCTCTAGGTCCTCGGTTCAATTCCCATCACAGCCTCTCCTTGTGTTTCAGCTGGAGAGCTGAAATGCAAGTTACAATAGCGCACCGTCTTTCGGATGAGACGTTTAAGCCATTGGTCCCTTGTGCATTTATGGCCCATGTGCACGTTAAAGAACGCAGTAGGCCCGGCCTACTATTGTCTCCCGGTCTACTGCCCAATCACTACCAGAAGGACCCCACTGGAAATAAGTCTTCTTCTAGACTTTCGTGGGCTATCCTTGGTGTTTACACCGAATAAATTCAATCAATCACAGAACAAAACAAACGAAAAGATATTTTGTTTGATGATACATGAATGTGTGAATTTTAGATTGTGGAGAAAATTTCAAACAGTAAATTTTACTCTAGGTTATCTTGTTATATTCCATTCATAGGTAAGTAAGAGATTGATTACCTTGGATATATTTTTTTTTTACTAAAAAGACTGGTAAATTTTACCTTCACATAATGGAAATAGAATAATAAGCCACTTAATGCATTTTCCTTTTTTATAAATGAATAAAATAAATAGTGGTTACATCTCATCAATAATGTAGTAACATCAGGCCATAAAACCAAGATATATATTTTTAAAAACTGTTCATTCTGTCAATCTCTGTTTGTTTTTTTGAGATGTTACCACTCGACAGTGATTTGTTTTGATTTATATTATTCCATCACTTAAGGATAGCTTCAGCTTTTTTCTATGTTTGTATTTTTTCTAACCTTTGCATTTGCACATGGTAATTGTTGTTTCTTGATGTTGAAATAAATTAAATTAATTGAACCGGTGTACTGCATGAAAATGATTAATGACTGTATGAAAGGTTTTAATAGATTAAGTTTATTTAATGAATAATACAGAAGTGGATATTATCACAGTTATTCAATCATGAAAGAAATAGTGTGGGTGTATAGACAACAAAAGCATGTGCATGTACTGTAATATTTTTATTCGAAATTATCAATGAGTTGCAGTCGGCAGGTTAGCTAAACAAGGTATACAAAACCATCTCTCCTAAAAGAAAATAAAATAAAATAATTACTTACTTTTATAATACAAACGAGAAATTCAATAATGAGGCCTGCTAACTTTTCCAAAAGTAACTGTTTCAACCTCGGGAATGTTGTTTCGTCCCCTTTCAGTGTGCAATGAAGCTACTGCAAATAGTGATAATCAGTATCACCAAAACATTGGCAGCATGCTGGATGACTGACGTCATTGGCATATTACGACCCTTTGTATCCGGTTACCATGCGTGCTATTGGCTACTGCCAGTTTAATCAATAATTTATTAGGTTTTTATCAAACCTAGTTATGTACTTAGTTAAAAACTTTATTGGTTTTTTTCCGTGACCTGTCGGAAGTTCATGAATGTGGGAAATAACACTTCAATAAAAAATAGCTACAAATGTATCACTTCATATAAATGATACACATAAAATCAGTTAGCGATTTTATTTAATTAATTAATTAATTCATTCATTCATTTTTTTGGTTGATTAGAGTTCACATTAATGTCCATGAGATCAGGAGGTATTTGATTTACAGTATCATGGAATGCCAAAAAATCGGGAGATGTTGCAATACAATAATATGCAGTATTATTTTTATTTAAATGAAATGCAACAGAATCAAGTACTACTTAACAGGCCAATGATGTAAAAAAAAAAAAAGAACAAAAAAAAAAAACATTTTTATTTTGATCTTAGCCGTGGAAAACTGGAAGTCTTGACTTTTAACAACAGGGGCCAAGCCCTCTTCCCACCACGAAACATCCACTGGTGCTACCTTTGCCGGCTAGCCTCCACAAAAAACTGCCAAACCCCCCCTGTTGGATAGCTTTTCCTTTGCATCCTGGAGCCACTGGCAAGAGGGATGGGCTAACAATTATATGAGTCATTGTCACCATGGAGATATAATGCTCAGACTTTATCAGCTAGAACAAACACAGAGGTTTGCAGGTCCAACTTCCTCGATATAAACACAATCAGTATAATATGATAAAGAGTAAAAATGTATAACAAATACTAATGGTATTTAAATCCTTCTTTCATGGTATTGTACGTATTTAAATGCATTGCAACTTTGAAGGGCACGCCCTTTGGTGTTTGACATGACACTCTATCTAAAAATAAATGGTTGGAATTATGTTTTAAATTTTTACAGTACAAATAAAAAGATTGTGATATTGAAAGATTTTTTTTAGTAGGTGATCAGTGGCGGCTCTAGGATACATTTTCTAGGGGGCTACGCTGTCCGACAGGGGGCTTGAGCTTGCATGCCTGAGGAGGGGAAGGGTTTGGGATGGGGTTTCCCCTTCCCAAATGAGATTGTGATATTGAATATCACATATTGAATATCGCAAAATGATTGTAATATTGAAAGAGTTCTTTTTTCAGCAGGTGATCAGTGGCGACTCTAGGATACATTTTCTAGGGGGTCTACGCTGTTAGACAGGGGGATTGAGCTTGCATGCCTGAGGAGGGGAAGGGTTTGGGATGGGGTTTCCCCTTCCGAAATAAGATTTTTTTTAAATAGGGACCTCTGGATGGTTGGAAATGACTGTGAAAGACATGTTTTGGCTTGGTGTAGGCCTATTTTTAAAATTTTTTTTGGCCAGTGAGGGGCTTCACTTGCCCGATGGGGGATTAAGCCCCTCCTGCTTGCACCAACACTGAGGTGATGCGTATAATATTAAGTTCATGACTCTGTAACCGTATTTGTTGCTTTCAATGTTTTTTTTTTATATTTTGATATTTATGAGTTTTTAATCACATTTTTTTATGTTGTCTATATTGTATTTTCTTGATTGTTTATTTTTTACGTTTTTTATGTTGTTTTGTTTATCATACTTTTTATGTTTTTTAATTCATTGGGGAACTACGGGCCAGATCGTCCCCTCTGTACAACCTTCTTGTGCAATTTTGGGCCATTATAAGATATTCTTAGACTTCAGATGCACAAAAAAGGAGATAGATGATGTAGAAGTTGGTGCAAACTGGATTACATGGGAGCGGTTCCGCAATGTTTGTGGTTTGGGGTCTCAACCTTGAGGTTTCGGCTTTGAATCCTTGCTGTGCATTTACTAATTTCTTAGCCCTGATTTTATTGGGGTGGGAAAGTCTCTAGCACCTGGGGAGAGGGGCCAAGTCCATGACACCTAGAAAAAAATGCAATTTTGGACCATTTTAGGCTTTTTTGACATGTTTTTCTTGCTCACTACTAAATGTTTCAAAGTATTAATTTTTTTTCCTTTTTTTTTTTTTTTGGTCCAATAAGTTGTCGCTGACAGGCGGCTTACGCTCCCCTCTCCACTGCTGGGACCTCCAATGATCACAGCATTTCAGACCTGTTTCCATTCCAGGGTGGCGCCAGAAATTTGCTCACAAGGGGTCTGACACTCAATTCATTCATCAGGAACAGACCTTTGGATGTAGTTATGAGTGTTAATAAGAAACATCTACATTCCACAAAGAGACTATGATACTACAACTGATATTGGAAAACAGAACACACAACTACAGAAAAAGAAAGTGTCCTCACCGACGACGTATCCAAGGAGCAACAGAGGAGCCTACTTAAAACAAGAAGTTTATAACTATAATTATTATTAATAAGAATATGGGACTTGGCATGCTAATTAATATGATGGCTTATGCCACCTACACATATCATTTCATCTCTTATCACTTGGTGTATGTTGCTAAGATTGTACTGATGAATATTACGACAAAACTCAGCACGTTTATTAAATAATATTTAATTAGCATTCACAGTCAGTGTTGGTATGGTTAAAAAAGCTTATTCAGAATTTATGACTGTAAAATGACTGATTAACGTTGATACCAGTAGGTTATTGCTACTCTATAAAATGTCTTCGGAAAAGAGTAAGGAGTTGTCTTCTGGTGTACTGACCAATTCACCACCAGAAGGACCCCACTGGAAACAAGTCTTCGGATTTATTGGGTTATCCTAGGTGTGATTCACACCAAAAATACTACTACACCTTATGCCAAACATTACATAATGCACTGTATGTCTGTTTGAAAAAAAATACTAACATTGATTGTTGTGTTGTTACAGATATTGAATGTGCCCCCATATCAATAGAAATTAGAATGGAATTGTACAAAAAAAAAAGGAAATAGAGAACTACCGGTATTGTGTAATGAAGCTTTAAAAGTGTATAGTATTGTCTTCCGAGATGTGAAGTATTTAAAAAGACTAACAAAGACCTGTAGGTCAAATTTTCGCATTCCTCAGTTGTGTTTCCCATGACAAGAATTTCTGCGAAAAAAAAAAAAAAACCCAAAAAAGTCAGAACAACAACACATCTATCAAAACATAACAATATAAAAAATAAGATCTAAAAAATACACTGGGGGAAACCCTGTCATCTAACAAAAAAACATTTATTTATATATAT